ATGACAGACAATAGGCAGATCAGGCGATAATTGCCAATGTCATGGATGTCTCCCTTCTTGAACAGTAGTATGGTCCTGCTGGTTTTCCACTGGGATGGAACCTTGCATTCAGACAGGTAGCATGTGAAGAGCTGAGCCAGTGTATTGATGAGTACTGACGGCAGGTTCTTCAGGTGTTCAGGTCTGACCTTGTCTGGGCTGGGTTCTATTCGTTTCTTTACTGACGAAATGGCGTGTTGGATTTCGAAAGGGAGAACAATGGGAACGACATATCCATCCTGTGAAATTTGGTATGTTGGCAAGTAGACATGGCTATTGAAGAGATTCGAGCAGAAGTCATGGATAATCTTCTCCATTGCTGTTCTGGAGGATGTGATAGATCCATCAGGACATCGGAGGGCAGTCATCTTGGTCTTATAGTTGGTGAAGGACAGGCGGGCGTTACGAATATTCTTCCCGGCTTCTGCCGCATCTACCAGTACTTCTGCTCTTCTCTCTTTGAGGTCTTCCTTGATCGCATCTCTGCACTGCTTTGCGAGCTCGGATGTTCGCTTGTGGTTGCCTGAGGCATGCACCAAACCACGTTGGTGAATAAGCTCAAGAGTTTTCGAAGACAGGCGCTTTTTTGTGGTTATCTCTCTCTTGGCATTCCTCGCACAATCCTGGAGGTGCTGAACCAGTCGATCATATTCAATGTTGTCAACAATGGCATCTTCCCATGTTGCCGCAATAGTGCCAAAGAGCTCCCAGTTGGTGGTCATTCTGGGAGCCTTTCTCCCCTCTCTGTGAAGTAGAATTTTGCATGAAGGAGACGGTGGTCCGATCCCATTGGGAATTTTGGGACAACAGTGACATCGGTCAGGCAAAACCGTTGATTGAATATGGTGTGGTCTATTTCGTTGTGGAATCGTCCACCTGGAGACTCCCATGTCCAACGTTTAGATTCTGCTTTCTGGAACTGTGAGTTACCATGGATGGTCTTGGTCGACATGATGAACTCAGACAGTCTCTCACCCTGTTCGTTCCATTCTAGGCCATGGGTCCCGATGTGAAGTTCTTCAGCTGATCTTCTCGGTCCTATCTTGGCATTAAAATCACCCACAATGATCTTGTAGAAGGTGTGGTCTTCTTTATAGAACTTCTCCAGCTTCATGTAGAACTTCTCAATTTCTCCTTTATCATAATTAGATGTTGGTGCATAGAGAACGAAGATAGAAACTGCAGGCAGTGAGCCATATCTATTCAAATGTAAACGTCTGATTTGGGTTGTTAGGCATTAGAATGAATTAATGCTCATGGCCAAGTTTGTGTTGACAAGGACACCGATGCCTCCGACACCTCTTTTATCACATGTTCTGAGGATCAACTCTTCTCCAGTGTCGAAAACGGCATGATTAGATTGGTGCCTCCTCCACTACCCAGCCGTCGCCACACTTCAGGATGCTTTCCGGACCCGCACGGCCGCAAAGCGGCACATTATAAGACACTAAATACCCATCTTCCGGAATTGCCATACCATATTTGATAGGGTTCAAATATGGTAACACCTACGAGGGTGATTAGAGGTCACCCCAAAAGCCTCTATCCCTCTCGGAAAGCCTGGCAAGCTACCGAGAGTATTCTGCCCACACGACAGAGCCTGGCAAGCTATCCGTTGTGTATTCAATATGCCAAAACCAGTAATTAGAATGGGTCTCATTCACCTGACCCTGAAGGCTTCACCAACATGGCAGCATTGAGAAGGGTGAGAAAGGAGAGGCCGATAAAATCTCAAGGCTGAACTAGGCTGCCACAACGAAGGAAGACAAAAATGATCGTCTGTACTTTCAATGCACGTATGCTAGCATCAGATGCATCCATCGAAGACCTGATGGTACAAGTGCGAAAGATCAAATACGAAATCATTGGTCGGACCGAGACAAGAAGGTAAAGGGAAAAATTCACAAATTAAGAGACACAGAGTGCCAGGATGGATTAGAAAATTAATCCCAACATTTGCTAACTGCAAGAAACACATTTGAATAGTCAGAGCAGATACAGACAAAGACAAAGGTTGGAAGACAATTCTTCAAGCAAAAAATCCCTCAAAAAAGCAGAGCTGGGCGAGGGGGGTGGGGGGAGTGATAGAACAGCGGGTAGGGCGTTTGCCTTGCACGCTGCCGACCCGGGTTCGATCTCCAGCATCTCATATGGTCCCCCAAGCACCGCCAGAAGTAATTCCTGAGTGCAAAACCAGGAGTAACCCCTGAGCATCACTGGGTGTGACCCAAAAAAAAATCAGAGCTGCCCATACTAGTATCAGATGACATAGATTTCAGGATGAAAAGGTTATGTTATAGACAGTAAAGGTCATTTCTTTTCTTCTTTCTTTTTTCAGTTGAATCACTGTGAGATATAGTTACAGACTTACAAACTTTCATGATTACGTTTCAGTCATACAATGATTGAGCACCCATCCCTCCACTAGCGCCCATTCTCTACTATCAATGTTCCCAGTGTTCCCCCCACCACCACCCCTTCCCACCCCCTGCTTCTGTGGCAGGCACATTTCCTCTTACTCTTTCTCTCCTTTTGGGTGTTATGGTTTGCAATACAGGCACTAAGAGGTCATCATGTTTGATCAGTAGTCTATTTTCAGCACACGTCTCCCATTCCGAGGAATCCCTCCAACCATCATTTACTTACTGGTCCCTTCTCTATTCCAGCAACCTTTTCCTCCAGCATGTGAAGCCAGCTTCCAAACCGTGGTGCAATCCTCCTGGCCCTTATCTCTACTGTCCTTAGGTGTCAGTCTCCTATTATATTATTTTATATTCCACAAATGAGTGCAGTCATTCTGTGTGTCCCTCTCTTTCTGACTAATTTCACTTAGCATGATAGTCTCCATGCCCATCCACTTATATGCAAATTCCATGATTTTATCTTAGAAAATATTAATATTATTAATGTTATTAATAATATTCCATTGTGTAGATGTACCGAAGTTTCTTTAACCATTCGTCTATTCTAGGGCTCTTGGGTTGTTTCCAAATTCTGGCTATTGTAGACAGTGCTGCAAGTGAACCTACATGTGCAGCTCTCATTTCTATTGTGCTTTTTGTACCCTCAGGATATATTCCCAGAAGTGGTGTTGCTGGGTAATATAGAAGCTCAATTTCTAGTTTTTGAAGGAAAGCCCATGTTGTTTTCCAAAAAGACTGGACCAGTCGGCATTCCAACCACCAATGGAAGAGAGTCCCTTTCTTCCCACATCTGCACCAGCACTGGCTGTTACTGTGCTTTTGGATGTGGACCAGTCTCTGTGTTGTGAGATGATGTCTTATTGTTGTTTGTATTGGCATCTCCCTTATGATTAGTGGTGTGCAGTCTTTTTTTATGTGCCTTTTGGCCACTTGTATTTTTTTAGGAAGTTTCTGTTTATTTCTTCTCCCCATTTTTTGATAAGGTTGAAAATTTTTTCCTTGTAAAGTTCTACCAGTGTCTTGTATCTCCTGGATATTAAATCCCTATCTGATGGATATTGGGTAAATATTTTTTCCCATTCTGTGGACTCTTTCTGTATTTGGTCTCTGTTTTTTTAGAGATGCAAAAGCTTCTTAGTTTAATGTCATCCCTTTTTATATTTGTTTCCACTTGCTTGGCCAGTGGAGTTTCATCCTTGAAGATGCCTTTAGCTTTCAATATCATGGAGGGTTCTGCCTACATTTCCCTCAATGTAACTTACAGATTCAGGTCTGATATTGAGATTTTTAATCCATCTGGATTTGACTTTTGTGCTTGGCGTTAGACAGAGGTCTGAATTCATTTTAGTGAAGGTCATTTCTTAAGGATCCAGGGTTAGGCACATCAGGAAGAATTCATACTCCTAAATCAATACAAACCTAATGTGGGACCAGCAAAATTCTTAAAACGTTTGCTAATAGACTTGAAAAATAGACATTGATAGCAACACAATAATAGTAGAAGACTTCAACACCACTCTGTCACCTCTTGTTAGATCAACTAGACTAAAATTCAGTAAGGAAGTACGTTCTGTGAGTGAAGAAATGGAAGAGAGGGGCGTGGTAGACATTTATAGGACATTTTTTCCTCAAAAAGCCTCGTACACATTTTTCTAACAATAGACAGTCTCCAAGATAGACCACATAGTAGGACAAAAAAAAAATTCCTCCCCGTAGTAAAGAGCATAGAAATAATATAGATTATCTTCTCAGACCATGATTCACAGAAAGTAGAAGTTAATCACAAACAGAAATGGAGAAACAACTCCAACACCTGGACATTAAATAGCTCATTACTGAATAACCAACGGGTTAGAGAGGAAGTGAAAGAGTAAATTTAAAGGTTAATGGAAATAAATGAGGATGAGGACTACCAGAATTTGTGGGATACAGCAAAAATAATGTTAAGAGGGAATAATGTTATGCTTCATAGCTATGCAATCATTTATCAGGAAGGAAGAAAGGGTCCACATAAATAACCTGACTGCACAAATTAAGAAACTAGAAAACGACCCCCAAAAGGAGCCAAAAGCAGCCAGGAGGAAGAAAATAATACAACTTAGGACAGAGATTAGTGAATTTGGTCTTAAAAAATTCAAAAGATCAATGAAATAAAGAGATTCTTTGAAAAAATAAACAAGGTCAATAAACCACTAGCAAGACTCACAAAGAGAGAAAGAGATAACCCTAGTAAACCAAATCAGAAATGAAAGAGGGATGTCACAAAAGACACTACAGAAATTCAAAGAATCATTGGAGATTACTTGGACAATCTCTATGCCATGAAATGAGAGAATATATAGAAGAAACAGATAAATTCTAGGACTCCTATAATATTTCAGTGCTGAACCAAGATGATTTGGAATATGTAAAGAGACCTATCATTATTGAGTAAGTTGAAATGATTATCAAAATTCTTCCCCAAAAGAAAAACCCAGCCCCAGATGGATTCACTGGTGAAATCTTTCAAACCTTTTTTTTTTTTTTTTTTTCCGGCTAGCGTGTCGCTCGCGGTTAAAAGGGCCGCCGGCGAGGGGGGCTGGCGGCCCCAGTTATGCGCGAGCCCATGCTCTGGCGCTGCAGCCTGACCCCCGGGTCTTTCAAACCTTTAAGAGGACCTACTTCCAATCTTTTTCAGGCTCTTCTAGGAAACTGAAGAAACAGGAACACTCCCAGTTTCTATGAGGTAAATTATCACCCTTATAATGAAAGTAGACAGACATCTCAAAAAGGATTACAAGCTGTTGTCTTTGATGAACACAAATGTGAATATCTTCAACAAAATACTAGCTAATAGAGTCCAACAATTCATCCAAAAATCATAAACCATGACCAAATAGAATTCATTCCAGAGATGCAAGGATGGTATAGCATATGCAAGTCAATCAACATAATAAATCTTATCAAGAAAAGAAAAAATAAATATCATATGATATCAACAGATTCAGAGAAAGCATTTGACAAGATCCAGTACCATTCTTGATAAAAATCTCAACAAAATGGGAATTGAAGGAACTTTCCTTAATATAGTCAAAGCTATTTACTATAAGCGCACAGAAAACACTATACTCAGTGGGGGAAAACAAAAATCCTTTCCTCTAAGATCAGGCACAAGACAAGATTGCCCACTCTCGCCACTTCTATTCAATATAGCATTGAAAGTGCTTGCCATAGCAATTGAGCAAGGACATCCTGATAGAAAAGAAAGAAGTCAAGCTCTCACTATTTGTGGATCACATGACACAAAATTTAGAAAATTCTAAAGACTGAGGGCTAAAGAGATAGTACCACAGTTAAGCGCTTTCCTTGCACATGGCTGACTCTGATTCAATCCCTGGCACCCCAAATGGTTTCCTGAGCCCTGCCAGGAGTGACCCCTGAGCACAGCTGGGTGCAACCCAAAGCTAAAAATAAAGTAAAGATAAATCTTAAGGGAAAAAATCCTAAATTCTCTTCAAAAAAGCTCCTAGGAACAATAGATTTGTAAAGGGGCGTCCTACAAAATTAATATGCAAAAGTCCAAGGCTTCTTAGTGAATGAAAGAAATTTGAATAATAAAAGAAAAAGATACATTTTTTAAAAACAATCCTGTTCACAATTGTGCATCAGAAAATCAAGTGTGTTGAATCCATCTTTATTAAACAGGTGAAAGATGTATACAAAGAAAACCACAATATACTACCTCAAGAAATAAAAGAGAACATGTAAAGTAAGTAAGTAAATAAAGGCCCTCCCGTTGATCGTCGATTTGCTCGAGCGGGCCCAGTAACGTCTCCATTGGAGACTTTGTTGTTACTGTGTCTGGCATATCGAAGACGTCATGGGGAGCTTGCCAGGCCCTGCCGTGCAGGTGAGATACTCTCAGTAGCTTGCCGGGCTCTCCGAGAGGGGCGGAGGAATCGAACTCGGGTCGGCCATGTTGGCTGCGTGCAAGGCAAACGCCCTGCCGCTGTGCTATCGCTCCAGCAAAAGAGAACATGAGGAAATAGAAACATATCACCTGCTCGTGGATTGGGAGAATTAATATTTAAAAGACAAAACTCTCCAAAGCATTGTACAGGTTCAATGCCGTCCCTATAAGGATACCCAGCCAGTTTTCAAAGAAATAGATCAAACATTCCTGAATTTCATATGAAACAATCAACTACTCAAATAGCTGAAGCAATCCTTGGGGAAAAAAGATGGGAGGCATCACCTTCCCAACTTCAGACTGTACTTCAAAGAGGTAGTAATTAAAACAGCATGGTACTAGAATAAAACAGACTCAAGCATTTGATCAGTTAATGACAGCGGTAGGGCATTTGCCTTGCACACAGCCAACATGGCCGACCCGAGTTCGATTCCTCCGCCCCTCTCGGAGAGCCCGGCAAGCTACCGAGAGTGTCTCGCCCACACGACAGAGCCTGGCAAGCTCCCCGTGACGTATTCGATATGCCAAACACAGTAACAACAACAACAAAAAAAAATCTCCAATGGAGACGTTACTGGGCCCGCTAGAGCAAATCGATGAACAACGGGAGGACAGTGACAGTGAAAGAAGAAAAAAATATGAAGTGAAGCAAGGAACACTATTCTTCAACAAGTAGTGCTAGGAAAAATTGATCGGCTACATGCAAAAATACAAAAAGGTGGGGAGAGGGACTCAGACCTCTTTTTAATGTCATGCACAAAAGTAAAACCAAAATGCATTAAAGATCTTGATGTTACACCTGAATCCATAAGGTACATATGGGAAAATGTAGGCCAAACTCTCCATGGCTTTGAAGCAAAGGGTGTCTTCAAGAATGGAACATCACTGACCAAGTTGGACAAGCATAAATAAATAGGATTACATTAAACAAAGTTTCTGCACCTCAAAGGAAATGATACTAGGATACAGACCACGAAATGGGAATAATTATTTACCCAATACTAATGTCTGAAAGGGATTATTATCCAAGATATGTAACGCACTGGTAGAACTTTACAAGGAAAAACACATCCAACCCCCATTAAAAACTGGGGGGAATATTGTGAACTACTTAATGAAAATAAAAGGAATAAAAATTGCAAAAAAATGGGGGGAATAGAGGAACAGAAATTTCCTCAAAGAAGAAATACAAATGGCTAAAAGGCACATGAAAATGTTTTTCATCACTAATCATCAGGGAGATATAAATCAAAACAACAATGCAATATCATCTCATGTAACAAGAATTGGCACATTAAAAAGTGCTGGAGTGGATGCAGAGAGAAAGGGACTCTCATTCACTACTGGTGGGAATGCCAATTCTTCCTGCCTTTCTGGAATATAATATGGACATTCTCCCCCCCCCCCAAAAAAAAAAACTAGAAATTGAGCTTCCATATGACTCAGCAATACTGATCCTTGGAAAACACCCCAGGAACCCAAAAAAACACGCGATCACGATCGCGACCATCCTGTTATTCATCGATTGCCTCGAGCAGGCCCCAGTAACGTCTCCTTCGTCCTACCCCTGAGGTTTTTAAAAAAGTGCCATATTCAAGGCTCTTTCAGAGATAGGAGAATGAGACCCTTCATTGTTACTGGTATTTGGCATATTGGGTACGCCACGGGGAGTTTGCCAGACTCTGCCGTGTGGGCAGGTTACATTCGGTAGCTTGCCAGTTTGTCCAAAGTAGGAACGAGATGATAAGATGTCACGCGGCGGCAAATGTGGCCGTGCGCTTCCAGGAACTGGGTTTTATAGTCTGAGTCTTGGCCGTTGATGGGATTACACAACGCCAGGGGGCCAGTTGGTGGGTGTGACCCCCGCCTACTGGAATTTGGAGGATCTGGGTGGAGGACGCTCAGCCCCGATCTGAGTAGGCTTGGAGATCTCAGCCCCGGGACCCCCGGGACCCACAATGCAGAAGTAATTTATGCTCCTATATTCACTGCAGCACTATTCACAATAACCAGAATGTGGAAACCACCCAAGTGCCTGAGAACAGATGAGTAGTTAAAGAAACAACGGTACATCTACACAGTGGAATTACTATGCAGCTGTTAGGAAAATATGGAGTCATGAAATTTGCCTGTACATGGATGGACATGGAGAGTATCATGCTGAATGAATGAGTTGGAGGGAGAGGGGCAGAAGGAATGATGACACTCATTTGCAGAATGTAAAAAAAATATGTATGAGACTAAAACACAAAGACAATAGAAATGAGGACCAGGAGGACTGGTCCATGGTAGGAATCTTGCCACAAGTGGGAGTGTGGGAGAGAGTGCACTTAGGACAGGGAAGGGATCACTATGACAATGATAGTGGAAATGATTACTCTGGACAAGAACTCAGTGCTGAAAATGGTAAACTGATACACATGATATCCTTTGAAGTAACAGTATTGCAAACCACAATGCCTAAAAGTGTGTGTTGGGGGGGGGGGGGGGAGAGGTCTAGAGAGAGGTCTGCCATAGAGACAGGCTAGGGGGCCATGGAATTTGGGGACATTGGTGACAGGAACAGACACTGGTGAAGAGACCGGTGCTCAACCGAAACTCTATCATGCAAAACTTTGTATTTCATAGTGATTCTAGTTTTTTAATTTAAAAAAATGACGTGCCACTATTTGGGAACACTTTGTTTACCAAAGTGGCTTGGTACTTTCCAACAAGGCTGTTGGTTTTAAATTTAAAGCTCAGTGCTAGTTGCTACACGCACAGAAGACTGTTTCTCTCCTGTGAGCAACTGTGAGACTGATTCTGGTCTCCAGGCTGATTTCTGCCAGTAGGGGAAACATGTCTGGGGGTTTTGCTATTATTGTGTTAATTGGCTCACAGTGAGATAGTTACAAAGTTACAAACCTGTTATTCATTGGGTTTCAGTCATACAATGTTTCAACACCCATCCTTCAACCAGTGTACATTTTTCCAGCACCAACTCCCAAGTTTCCCTCACAGCCACCATCCCAGCCTGCTTCTATAGCAGGCACCTCTCTCTCTCTCTCTCTCTCTCTCTCTCTCTCTCTCTCTCTCTCTCTCTCTCTCTCTCTCTCTCTCTCTCTCCCTCTCCCTCCCTCTCCCTCCCTCCCTCCCTTTCTCTCCCTCCCACCTTCCTTCCCCTCTTCTCCTTTTGGCATTATGGTTTGGAGTACAGGTACTGAAAGGCTCTCAGTTCAGCTCTCAGTTCTTGTCCAACAATTATTGTCTTAGTGGTACCTTCTCTATCCTGACTGGCTCGTCCCCCCACCCCACACACTACTTGTGGCAAGCTTCCAGACGTGGACCAGTCCTCCTGGCCCTTGTTTCTACTGATCTTGGGTACTAGTCTCATATTGTGTCTTTTACATCTGGTGTTTTTAAGAGGGCTTTTCAGAATAACTAGTCTCTCAACTAAAAACAGACAATTAACAGTTAATCTGTTCATGCATTGACTTGTATGACATCTATGGATTTTTATGTTTTGTATCAGTTTGTCCTTAAACATTTTGAATGAAAGTTACCTTTCTATTTTTTAATTATAGTAGATGAGTACATGCGGATGAGAGATGTTCATTAAATAATAATTTAATGACCGCTATGAATTTTATTTTGGAAGTAGCCTAGTGCCAAATAATAGATGATTCTATTAGATTCTCTTAAACCTTTATCCGGTCAGAGGATGTAAATTATGAGGATGTTTGGGATGTGCCCTTGAGTAAATAAGCTATTCTTTGTGACACCATTTATTTTTATATATATTTTATTTTTAATTGAATTCCTTCTGATTACCTATAAATAGGAGAGATTTTATAAAGATGTTATGAACTTATATTAAAATTATTTGCCTTGTCTGAAATAAATAACAGGTATATAATTTCCAGACATCTTTTATTACTTTTTCCTGATGATTAGCTTTTTCCTTTTTTGACTTGCAAAGCCTTTAATAGCAGTTTCAGGAATTCAAAGTTCTAGCTCCAAACCCACACCAGGGTCAGTGTCTCAGCACCAATGACCCACAGTTCCCTCCTTCTCCCCACCCTACCTCCTTTCTATTAATTTGCGTTTTATAATTTGGTTCACATGTTTACAATAATATTAACTTTTATAATTTTGTTCTATATGGATAACTCATATGGATAAACCAATGAAATACCCAAGACCCGTGGCCTCTGCCCTATTTTATTGCCAGTTCGCCTTCTCATCCCTCCCTTCCACTTCTCTTCCTTGGCATTCTCATTTCTACAATCCAGAGACCAGGGTTTGCCACCACTGATTTCTACCATTCCCTTGTCTTATTACTCATTCTATCACAAATAAGTGAGAACATCCAAATTTGAGAAAATTCTGTAAGGGGAATTTAATCCATTGGAACGACATCACTAGATTTTTTTGCGTGCACTTTTTGGCTCCTATTTTTTTTCAGTGAACACAGCTAGTGTGCTTTTAATGTAAAGAGCAGTTATTTACATCAATCAAAAGCAGGGGTGACTAGCTAACTTCGGGGTTATGTAAGACCAGATTGCGTGTCGGGCAGTCCGCGGCCTGGGGACTCCTTAGTAATCAGAATGCCAGAGACTGAGTGACCTCTGCTCAGGATTCCTGCCGTTTGATGATTCAAATATTTCCTTTTTATTTCCCGCTCCCATCCCATCCCCAGCGAACAGATCAACAAATCAATGCCTCAGACAGATAAGCAAATATGCATTCCCCCGGAGCTGCCGGAGTTGCTGAAGCAGTTCACCAAAGCCGCCATCCGGACCCAGCCGCAGGACCTCATCCAGTGGGCTGCAGAGTACGTGCGGGCCGGCGCGCGCGAGAGGAACGGCCTTTGGGACTGCCGGGAAACCGTCCGGGCTGCAGCCTGCAGCCAGGACGCACCACCCTGTCGGACGGACAGGCTTCTGTGGTGCCGGATCTTTAGAACCCACCCCCAGAAATCCATCAGACTCGCTGAGGGGTGGCCTATCCGCCTAAGCGAGCCGGACCGGCCGGACGTCACAGTGTCCCCGGACGAACCGCAAGAGCTGGAGGGCCGCGTCTCCCCGTGCGCGCACACGCCCCGCGGGCCGGCAGCTGCGGGATACAGGGCTCGGAAGCCCCCTCGGGCTGGGCCTGTCCCTGGGGTGACCGGGAGGCGCTCTCCTGGCGCGCCACGAGGTGGCGGCCTAGCGCTGGGGAGGACGGAGCGCCCGGGTACCCTTCTGAGGATGCCCGCCCCGCCAGGGTCGCGGCCTCTGGCTGGAGGGCGGTGATGCTGTTCTCCTGCGTTCCTTTGAGTCGATGTGGCTCTTCGCTCCTCCTGGAGGAGACGTGGGCATAGCGCAAATATTCAATAAAGGACAAGGGAGCTGGACCAGCAGCAGGGCGGGAGGAGAAGGGAGCTGGACCACCAGCTGGGCGGGAGGACAAGGGAGCTGACCAGCGGCAGGGTGGGAGCTGGACCAGCAGCTGGGCGGGAGGACAAGGGAGCTGACCAGCGGCAGGGTGGGAGCTGGACCAGCAGCTGGGCGGGAGGACAAGGGAGCTGACCAGCGGCAGGGTGGGAGCTGGACCAGCAGCTGGGCGGGAGGACAAGGGAGCTGACCAGCGGCAGGGTGGGAGCTGGACCAGCAGCTGGGCGGGAGGACAAGGGAGCTGACCAGCGGCAGGGTGGGAGCTGGACCAGCAGCTGGGCGGGAGGACAAGGGAGCTGACCAGCGGCAGGGTGGGAGCTGGACCACCAGCTGGGCGGGAGGACAAGGGAGCTGACCAGCGGCAGGGCGGCAGCAGAGGCCACGCGCCCTCTTCCGGGAGGACTCAGGCCGCGCCAGCCTAGCCGCTCACCAGCAGTGGCGACTGGGAACGACCTTACACAGCAAGCCTCTCAGCTGTGACGTGGCTTCTTAGACAAATGTCCGGGAAACTGGGGGACTGGGGCTCGGGGCAGGAGGTAGGAGGTGGGAGGTAACTAGACAGCCCAGGTCATTTCCAGGCTGTTTGTGGTGGGTGGGAGGGGGTGTCAGGGCAGAGCAGTGCTCAGGGGGAGGGAGTCTGCAGAGGGGCTTGAGTAGGTGCCTCTGAGGGGTCTCCAAGGTACCAAAAGCGAAGCGAGAGCAGCCCCCCGCCTCGCCAGCCTCCAGTGAAAGCGCGTACAAACGAGCTGCTGCGTGTGCTCCTCCGTGGAACCCGGGAAGCTCTGCTAGTAATGAGCCCTGTTTAGTTTTCCCGTTCTAAAGAGTCTTTACTGCCCTTAAGATTGCAGAAGACAACTTCTTGGGCATACACAGACGTTGTTTTATGCTCTACAATAGTTCAAAACCTCATGTTATTGTTCTTGTGCTGTAATTTTATTGCAAGTAAAACGTCATTTCTTGGTATTGTCCCTGACATTTATGGGAGAAAGCATTCCTCTGTGGTTGCCTGCTTGCTTCTGTATTGCATCTTGGGCTATAAACTTTAAATATCCACGAAGATTCAGATTGAAGATTCAATCTGAAATTTGAAGATTCAGATTTAACGACACTGGCAAAGGGCAGCTTGGCCTCAGAGTGCGCTTCATCCAGACCAGACCAGAGAAGCACTTCACGGAAGGTTTTATATGACTTTACAAACCTGTACCATTTTAGAGGATAAAATTCCACAAAATTCCAAGACAAAATATGTGTCTCATACACCATAAACAAGAATGTCCCTACATATGCCTTCCCGGAGAAGAAAGCCCCTGTGTGTGTGACCACCCAAATTTGCAATATGTGAATACCCTGGGAATTGTCCTCTGTAGTCACAGGCTGTGGGCAACTAAGCCCACACTAGTTTCCTTTATATGTCAGTCCTCTAGCTAGAACGCCACCAAAAACATTGTTGCTCACTCTTTCCTTTCTCTTTCCTCCTTTCTTCCCTCCCTGCCTCCCTCCCACCTTACCTTCTTATTTTCCTTCCCTCCCTCCCTCCCTCCCTCCCTCCTTTTCTTTCTTCCCTCCTTCCCTCTTTTCTCATTCTCTCTCCCTTTATTCCCGTTCTCCCTCTTTTTCTTCCCCCTTCCTCTCCTCCCTCTCACTTCCCCCTCTCTCCCTTTCTTCCTTTTCTCCTTCCTTCCTTCCTTCTTCCTTCCTTCCTCCTTCCCTTTCTTTCTTCTTTCTTTTTTCTCTTTCTTCTGTCTTTTTCTTTCTTTCTTTCTTCCTTCCTTCCTTCCTTCCTTCCTTCTCTTCTCTTCTCCTTACTTCCTTCCCTTCTTCCCTACTTGCTTGCTTTCCTTCTTTTCTTTTTTTTCATAATGTAGGAGTACTGCTATTTATTCAGTTATTGATTAAGCTGATTGAATTGGGCATGAATTCTGCATTACTTTTTTATTCTGAATGTTAATTTAATTTTATTATTATTCCCCCCTTTTTATTGGTTCACCATGAGATACAGTTGCAAAGCTTTCGTGTTTGAGCTTCAGTTATACAATCATCAAACACTTATCCCTTCACCAGTTCACATTTACCACCACCAAAATCCCCAGTACTCTGGCCCCGCCCCCCCCTCCCCCACATCAGCCTATATCTACAGAGTGTGCTCATGCTTACTGTCCAAAGTAGCCTTGCCCCTCTCCTCCCACCTTGCTGAGGACCTTGAAGGGAAGGGATGCCTGGCAGGTTCCTGGTAGCTTTAGCTCTGTGCAGCTCTGTGGCTTCAAAACAGGCAATGGGACTCCCCTCATCGCATGACTTGTGCAGGGTTGATAAAATTCTCCCTTAATTTTTGCCTATTACCTGGTTCTGGAGAAAGAGATGCATGGACAGTCAATGGCAAAGCCTCTGTTGCAGACAAGCCTTTTCATTTCGCTGTGTGAACTACACATTTCAACTGCTTGTCTCCACTGCTAGAGGCAGCCCCTGTTCATCTGCGAGTTCTGATGTGGGTCTTGGTTGCAAGTCCACTCCACAAAGCACTGATGGGAAAATAGATTTTATTGAAATTGTTAGGGAAGATAGAGAGGAGGGCACTGCATCGCACACTCCAGAAGGCCAACTCACGCTCTTCTTTGGCCTCTCTTCTAAACTTCACCTCTCCTAGAGCCCCTTCAACCATCTCTTTCTTTTTCCTGAAGCTCCCAAGCCACACTGCCTCCAGCCAAACGCTTCCTGGCTCACCCTTGGAGTCCTTTCATCGCCCACCTTATGCAAGTTACTTTGCTTCTTTCAATTGCTCTTTTTGAAGTTATGTAGCTCATCTCACTTCTCAGTGAGGGACTTTACGTCAATAGCTTTCATGCTTGAAAAAAATACTTTAGGTTCTAGGATTCATCTTCCATAAAATAATGACAAAAACAATTTGGTTTTCTTTCCTTTTATTTCTTTCCATGTATGTATATTATACATATACATATATAATATACATCATGAGAATGTCTGTGTTTATCTGTGCTGTATGTACATAGCATGCAAATAAAAAACCAAGACTCAATGTGTTTTATCGAATTCTATACCAAACTTTTATTGCTTCTTACACATCTTAAAAGAGTAAAGAAACTTTTTTATTTCCTAAGCATTCCTGTGCCTTAAGTGGGAAGTAACACAGTTTGGGTTTTCTTAGACATAAATGAAGTAAAAAAAAAAAACAACAGTGCCTGGCACATAGACGTCACTTAAATGTTCTTTCCTCCATCCCCTTCTTCAAAAAAGATGGGGAGTGCGGGGGGAATTCCTTAAGCAGCCAGAGGCATTGGAGTGTAGCATCCTCTTCTTACCCTTTATTTTTTTCCCTTGCAGCTATTTTGGGGCCATGGCCCGTGGAGAGAGCCCTCCAGTGAGGGACCGGTCTGAGCGAGCCCCTTTTTCGAACTGGGCAGAGCTTACACCTGAGCTGCTAAAGATCTTGCACTCTCGGGTAAGGACCACAGACCTTGTGGAGTGGGGGAGTAGGAGGGGGGCAGAGGGAGGAGGACTGGGACAAAGGGAGGAGGGCTGGGTGGTTTCAGACAAAAACCTACAACTCCACTGCCAATCAGCTGGCTGCATAAAATCAGCATCATCTTAAAATTCACTAATCCATCTATGCCTTGAAAGTAGATCTGGAGGGAACTAAGAATGCTACTGAAATCGACTCTAAGTTGAGTTGGCACTGAAATGATCCCAGATTTCCCAGAAGTTGGCAGAATGTCTCAAGGCTCATGGCAATACTAATTCATTCTCTCCAGAAAATACAGATCTTCATTGCTTCACAATGTCTCTCTAACTAATCAATACCATACCATAATGCTCATCACAGCGATAACATGTTATGGCTTCCCAGTTATCCCAGCTGCAGACAGAGTCTAGATCTTAGGGAAAACCCTGACCCCACACTACATCGTCCTGAGCTCTGCCCAAAGACTGAATGAAAGCTGAGTCTGACATGAGGAAGTCTGTAGATTAGCAAATTACCCATAAATAAGGTTTCTCACCATCGTACCTGGCTTTAGGACACAAGGGGTTTCGGTTGAATGAAGCCTGAGTCAGTCAGTGCCTTCATCACAGAGATGGAGCCTTTCACTCTAGTCAGAGGGTTAGGGAGTGCTTCACTGGGCATCTGTACCATAGTGCATTGTTGGCCAACAGCTGGCCTTTCATTCCCTTGCTTCTCTCAAACACTTATGCAGTGGACATGGCAGAAACCTGAAGTGCCTGGGGCATTCCGAGCAACATGAAACATTCCAGGTCATCAAGCCCCATGATGTTCCTGAGAAGGCCTAAGGGATGCATGGTAAGGTCTTTGTGTAAAGAACTCAAAGAAGACTAGAAGCAAAAGACTGGAATCTAGTTTCATCACAACTAGTGGTATTAGAGGCCTTATAGGAAGGGACAGCCTAAAAATAAAGTAGAAGAAGATGAAAACATCAGAAAAAACAGATTCATGTTTATTTTCTCCCACAATTCTGACTTCGAAGTTAAATATGATTCAATTATCTCAGGCTTTGCTCTGTTCCCCGCTGAAAACCCTTCTGCCCTTGCTAAAAGAACTGCCTGGCAGAGTCCTTCTCTGAACTTTTGCAGTGTTCTGGGAGATTAGGTGTCCTGCCTGGGCCGGGTTTCCCGAGCAATCTCTCATTCTAACCTCATACTCTGGCCTTCTGTCTTCCCTTGACCCACAGGTTGGTGGCCGATTGATCGTCAATGCAGATGAGCTGGCCCAGATGTGGAAGGTGCTCAGTCTCCCAACAGATCTGTTTAATAGCGTGATGAATGTGGGCCGATTCACGGAGGAAATAGAGTGGCTCAAGTTTCTAGCCCTTGCTTGCAGCTCTCTCGGAGTAGTAAGTCAGTTTTGCTGTCTGGTGCTTGTTGAAGGGAAATCTTTCTCTGGAAGACAGTGCATCTGTACCCATGGTCCGCTGACTCTAGGTAATGATGAGTCATGTTCTCGCACTGAGAACTCTCATACTCTCTGAACTGAGATCTCTATTCAGCAGCCAGAGGAGTGACTGACTAGAAGAAAGATTCAGGAAAATCGTCACCTGGACCTGGAGCTCTCTCCGGGTTGATTAAAGAGGGATTTTAGGTGGATTTCAAATCATTGCACACAAATTTGCTCGAGCGGGCCCAGTAACGTCTCCATCATGAGACTTGTTACTGTGCCCGCTTGAGCAAATCGATGAACAATGGGAGGACCGTGACCGTGACCGCACACAAATAGTTTCAGTGCACTTCATTCCCTCCATTCCTATTCTGAGAGATCAACCAAGACGCAGCCACAAAGTAAGATTTACTTATATTGGGTTCTAGGCTCTTGGAAGGTACTCCTAGAAGGCACATGAGATTCTTCAAAGAGGTGAAGCCTTATAGAGGATTTCTATGATAAGCATAATTCTATAAAAATTAGAGATGAGAGAAAGTGAGAAGATGAAACTGTCTCTAGACGTATAGCCATGATGTCACCATTGATGCCGGATGTTCATACAAATTCATGAAGTTTTCAAATTTGACCTCATTGACAATTGGAAAGCTATTTTCCTGTTTTAAAGAAAATGATACTGTAACCAGCTTATAAGTGTACATATATATGCTTTGGTATTACCCTATATGTGGAAACACTTGTTAAACATGGTTATAATAACTTAAAATGAATCAGACTTTTTAATCCCTAAAATATGTGCAAGTTTAAAAGTTAATGTGGAAAGTATCGCTTCTGCCAAAACCAAATAGTCTGAAAAGGTAGTTTGAATAATTTAGCATATCTGAACACGATCTTGTTCTTTCTTCCCAAATATGCTTTAAATCTGCACATTTGACTGTTTCTGTGAAAAGTATAGAAAAAATATTACAACCTCATTCTTCCTATGAGTTTTCTCTGTGACTTTCATTGTAATTCATTAGAGAAGAAAAGAGAGATAACTCCTGTTTTGTTTTTTGGTGGATGTGCTTTGTAAGATATATATGTATATATAATGAATTAATTATTTTTTTCTAAAGAGGAGAGGGAAATGCAGCATGAAGATGTGTAGCTAATTAATTATCACAGTTCACAGTATCACAGTTCTATGAAAACAGCCCTAAGGATTCAGTTTGTTTTTTGAGGGGCATGGTTTGATCTATTCCCAGCAGTACCAGAGCTTATTCCTGGCTCTGTGCTTAGGAATCACTCCTGGTGATGGTCAAAGGGCCCTATGCAGTGCTGGGGAATAAGCTGAGGTCCTAGTCATTGTGACCGTATGCAAGGCAAGTGTCTTACCTCCTGTACTATCTCTTTGGCCCAGGATTTTAAAAAAAAATTTATTAATGAATCACCATGAGGTAAAGTTACAGACCTACAAACTTTCGTGCTTGCATTTCAGTCATACAGTGATAGAGTACCCACCCCTCCACCAGTGCCCATTTTCCACCACCAATGGTCTCAGCTTCCCTCCCACCACCCCCACCCTGTCCCCTCCACCCCACCCTGCCTCTGTGGCAAGGCATTCCTTTTTGCTCTCTCTCTCCTTTTTGGGTGTTGTGGTTTACAATAGAGTTATTAATTGGTCATCATATTTGGTCTATAGTTTGCTTTCATCCTGCATCTCCCATCCCGAGCAGGCCCTTCTAGCACCCTTTACTTGGTGGTCCCTTCTCTATCTGAGCTTCCTTTTCTGCCAGCATGTGAGGCCAGCTTCTAAGCTGTGGAGTAATCTTCCTGCTACTTATTTCTACTATTCTTGGGAGTTAGTCTCCCATTCTGTTGCTTTATATTCCACATATGAGTGCAATCCTTCTATGTCTGTCCCTCTCTCTCTCATTTCACTTAACATGATACTTTCCATGTTGATTCACCTTTATACAAATTTCACGACTTCATCTTTTTTTAACAGCTGCGTAGTATTCCACTGTGTAAATGTACCAAAGTTTAACCAGTCATCTGTTCTCGGGCACTTGGGTTTTTTCCAGAGTCTGGCTATTGTAAACAGTGTTGCAATGAACATATAAGTGCAGATGTCATTTCTACCATACTTTTTTGCCTCTTCGTGATATATTTCCAGAAGTGGTATTGCTGGGTCAAATGGGAGTTCAATATCCAATTTTTTGAGAAGTACCCATACTGTTTTCCAAAAGGACTTAACCAGTTGACATTCCCACCAGCAGTGAAGGAGAGTTCCTTTCTCCCAACATCCACACCAACACCAGTAGCCTGCGTGCAAGGCAAACACCCTACCCACTGTGCTATTGCTCCAGCCCCTCAAGTGAAGGTTTTCCACATCCCTTGAGTCCTCCTTGCTGTCTCTGATCTCCATGAAATACTCGTCTGCACAGTCGCTAGCTTCTTGCAGTTTGTTCTCTCTCTTTTCACCAGTGCTGAGCTAGAAAGTACCAGGTTGTCCTCCACTGTTCTCTGACTTGGTAATCCACTCCCCAGCCAGTCACCATCTTGAGTCCTCCCCCATCCACTTAATCACAGTAGCTAGAAATGACTTTGAAAGATAAATCCCAGACCTTCCTTTGCTTACCCTACTGTACAATTACTAGGTTCACTTTAATCTGGCTGCCTTCCAGATTGTGGTAGAAAAAAACAGGAGGCAGTTTCTACCTGGAGCTGTGTACCTCCATTCAAAAATGAAGATGATGGTTAAATAAGATGTCCCATTGAAGTTCTTTGTCTCTAACATCCTGTGATACTATCTTGCCTCTTTTCCACTGAGACATGCTCAATTCTGGTTCTAAATAACATAGGGTTGCTCTGACTTTGTGAGGGTCCAAGATGCCTGTTTGACTTTGGTCCTCAATTTCCTTTTGTTAGAGTTTTCAGAAGCCAGGAGGATGGTGCAAAGTTCTGAGCACATGCTTTGCCTATGAGAGCCCTGGATTCCGTCCCCACACTGCTTGGTCCCCCAAGCACTTCCAAGTATGACCCCAAAACAAAGAATACCTAGAGGTGTGAATAAGGGGCTCTATGAATCCAGGAGGTAACACCCCCTTGTTTTGTGTGAGACTGAATCTAAATGTGCAGGAATCAGATTGTCACCATCTGGGAGGGGCTTTGCATTAGCATTGATCCACTGACCCTTAGTGGCAGGTCTAGGAGTTTCCTCCTCCCTCTGCCAACGTGCTGAGATCTTCATGCCATTTTAGAAATCCAGGTCTTTCCTTACAGAGGCATCAAGGCAGGGATATTTGGCAGCAGGTGTCTTTAATCCTGAGCTTTGGGGGTCTCTAACAGTATTCAAGGTGCCACATGCAGACCTATATTCACCTTTCTCTCAGCCCTCTTCCCCTAGACCACTGACACCTATTAGCTCAAATCATGTCATTGTGTTCACTGGAAGGAATAACATGTCTCAGTAGCCAATAATTCATTCTCTGTCTTTCACCTGTGAGTATTTTAAAATGAGACTTGTAAAATGCTTGAAGTGTGTTGCTTTAAAGTGTATTTTATATGACCAAAACAATCTAGTACAGCAAAAAAAAATTTAGGTAGTTTACCCCTGAAACTCGAACTCTCCCTGAGGATTTTTGTTTTCAGAGGGGCCTGTTTTCGGGAGCTCAATATCCTATGAGGAAGGGAGAGGAGGTTCTCTAGGGAAGGAGTAGAGATGGGGTCCATGGGGAGTGTGAACAGGACACTGCACATCTTCACTCAATCACTGTCTGTCCATGTTTGCTGAGGTTTGGGGTCACCTACTAAGGCCAGGACTTCAGAATTGAGTGCCCATTCGGCATCTGGTGGTGTCCCCAACTTTTCATCAGTATCCCGAAACTTGCATGCTGCAGACCCCTAGCACCAAATATTTTGATATCCCTACCGCCATATATTTTCTTCTGGTCCCCACCAGGAATTATCCCTGAGAACAGAGTCAGGAGTAAGCCCTGAGAGCATTTGGGTGTGGAGAAAGAGAGAGAGAGTAAAGGAAAGATATATGGAAAGAATAGAAGGAAGGGCTTTTTGAAGTTAACCAAAAAGATTTAGTCTATAGAGTTCTTTATTCAGTGTTCCATTTATTATACTTAAAGTATATATTTTATTTAAAATACTAAATATATTTAAAATGAAGGCAATAAAATGTGAAGGTTTATTATTTGTATAATCAATGAAAGATGATGTTTGGAGTTGAAATCACTTATATTAGTTTGTTAGGATGACCCTGATGTAGTACTCAGATTAGGTGGCTTGAACATCTTTATTTTCACAGTGGAAGCTGGAAGTCTGAGTTCAAGCATCTTTGGTCTCTTACCTTTTCTAACAAATGGCTTTGGTTGTCCATTGACTGTCCCTCTGTGCATGTCAACCCACATGCTCACATGAACTTCTTTCTCGCTCTCATCTTCTCTCTCTCCTTCCCTTTCCTCCTCCGCCTCTGTTGTCAGTCTGTCTCCTCCTGTCCTTCCTCTGGATTAGGAACCTCTCTAGTTACTTTAATTTTACCTTTAAAGGCTCTGTTTCCAAATCTCTCTCTCTTTTTTTTTTTTTTTTTTTGCTTTTTGGGTCACACCCGGCGATGCTCAGGGGTTACTCCTGGCTCATGCACTCAGGAATCACTCCTGGCAGTGCTCAGGGGACCATATGGGATGCTGGGGATTGAACCTGTGTTGGCCATGTTGGCTGCATGCAAGGCAAACGCCCTACCCGCTGTGCTGTCGCTCCAGCCCCCAAAGAGAATCTTTTATGAGCTACTAGAGGTTAAGGTTTCAACCTAAGTATTTTGACACAATTTATCCTATAATAGCAGCTCAATTTGTAGGAGACTACAAGAGGAGGACAAGAGAACAAAGACACAGGGGAATAGCTGAGTGATTTTTAAGAGAAGCAGAGACAATGCATTATTAATGGAAATTATGGCATTATGGGCATATATGCTTACACATCTATCCAAAATTACTTTCTTGCTAACTTCATCTCTGGCACATTATCTCTCATCTCACTGACTACCTTTTGCCCAGAACCCTCCAATCTACTTGCCTCTGTGGGTAGAGGCTGCAGCACATACCTGATACAGGCTTCACATTAGTCTCCAGGAAAGGACTCCCAAAGGCAGGAAAGAGTAAATGAAAGTGGCCTGCTGCAATCCCCACATTTCCTCTACCTTGTGTGGTCAAGCATTTTACAAGACCAGTGTTCTAGTCCCTGAACTACAGAGCTAAGGTCAATCATTTTAAGATGTATGTCCGTTGGAAGTTGTACTTATTAACATGGGCAGAGCGATAGCACAGTGGGTAGGGCATTCGCCTTGCATGTAGCCATCCTGGGTTCGATTCCTCTGTTCCTCTCAGAGAGCCTGGCAAGCTACTGAGAGTATCCTGTCTGCACGGCAGAGCCTGGCAAGCTCCGCATGGTGTGTATTTGATATGCCAGAAACAGTAACAACAAGTCTCACAATGGAGACGTTACTGGTGCCCGCTCGAGCAGATCAATGAACAACGGGATGACAGTGCTGCAGTGCGACAGTGCAACTTATTAACAGCAAAATTTATACAAGAGACAAAATTAAAATGAATGAATACAAGTCATGTCAACATGACTTGCCATTAGGTAAGAGTGTCACTTTAGGAAAATGGATCCAGTTTGTTTAGTTTCCCTACACACTTTCTGACATTCAGACGTACTCTCCTTGTAACACACCGCAAAGTCAAAGAAGCACCATCTGTAATTCTACTACATTCAGAGAGAGGAAGGAAGCAGAATTGCAAAAGCAAGTTACAAAGGAAAAACAATGCAGGCCAGTTAAGGAAATATAGCAGTTACTTACTCAGTCAGCACCTCACCACTCGGGACTAATTTTCACTGATCCCTGGGGAAAGTGGAAAAACAATCTGCACATCATGTTTCAGCAAACCCCTTTGTGTGAGTGTGTGTGTTTGTCTGTGTGTGCAGTGCATGCGTCTGTATATATCTACTGACCTGCCTTTGCTAATTCACAGCTAAATTGTCCTTTCTATCAGTCATTCCTTTACCCAACCGTTTCATAGCTTACGATGCTTGAAATTTAGCCAGAGTAGGGTTTTCCCACTGAAGACAGAGGTAAGTGAGACCTCTGTTCTGAATGATCTTTAATGATCAAGTTTTGTTATAAAGACTGACTACTTCTCTAGAAGCCCTGCTGTGGAAATACCTGCTCTTCTCACTTGCCGATTTCCTCCAGCAACAAGGTTAGTGTTGTGGCATGTAAAGAGCTAGGTAGTTCTGCTCTGACGGGGCTGCAGGTGGTAGAGAAAGTGGATTTATCTTGATGCTCAGCATTATTCTCCTGCATCGGGAACTTTCATCCCAGGGACATTACTCTACTTCCGTTCTCCTTTATACTGGCATTCGAATATATCACTGGATTATATAAGATAGCTAGAGAGAAGATTGGGGAGCAATTAAAATGAAGTATGATTCTAATTGATATAATGTAATATCAAATTTTCTTTAGTGAAGTGTTTCTGATTAAACCAATAAATAGCCTAACGTATTCATTAGGTTACAAACCCAATTCCTCGAGACACGGTATCTCCAACAAAGAAAGAACATAAATATTACATCATTCCCAGTTCACTTTATGAGAGCAATAGTTTGGTGGTTTCTTTTTTTTTCTTTTTTCTTTTGTCCTAGCCTCTATACCAATATTAGGATTCTAGATTGCAATAGTGACTTTCTACTCATTTAATCTTATGGCTTTTATAGACCATTGCAAAAACTCTCAAGATAGTGTGTGAAGTTTTATCATCTGACCATGATGGTGGACCTCCACGTATTCCTTTCAGCACTTTTCAGTTTCTCTACACATACATTGCAGAAGTGGATGGGGAGATCTCTGCCTCACACGTCAGTCGAATGCTGAATTACATTGAACAAGAAGTGTAAGTCAACTCAAACCGATTGAAGGGGAAAGGATAAAGGGATGAGTAATCTGAAAGGCTAAGTTATGGGGGGGTTACTCAATTATACTGCTCTGAGAACAAAGAAATACTATGAATCACAAGAAGCAATAGGGCTTGAAAAAGAAAGGTAAAGAAATTGGAGAGAGAAGGGGAATCTGGTAGAATAAAACAGTGATTTGTAGCATGCCAAGACCCACTTCAGTTGCATCACTGAGGAACATGAGAGAAATGCAATTTCTCGAGTTGCGCCCCGAACCTTATGGAACCAGAACGTGTGGGGCTGGGTTCAGGCTAGCAAGACCTCCCTAGCAGAAGAGGAGGAGGAAGCGGAGGCGGAGGCAGAAGTGGCAGCAATCTGAGTCAGAGTCCAAGAGGGACAAAGTAGTGATGTGGGATGGGAGGGTTGGTCCTCTGTCGTCTTTCTAAGGTGATTGTAGATGACCTAACCCCACATGTTTTTTTCTTAAACAGAATTGGTCCAGATGGTTTAATCAAGGTGAATGACTTTACCCAAAACCCCCGGGTTCGGCTGGAGTGAAAGCACCCTTTTGGCACTTTTAAAGAAGACAGAGATGATTGAGCTTCACAATGATTAAATCTCATCCGCCATCTGATGTCGATTTTCTTGTTAAACTGGTACACACTAATAAACAATTAGGCAAACATGTGGAATCAGAAATGTGTGAAAGTGAGATGTAAGATTGTTTGAACAAAACAGAAGATTAGCATTCTCCTAACACAGATACAACACACAAAGCCTGGATAGAAAATGATTTCGACTCAAAGCCAGACAGTGAAGGTGCCACCTGGATTCTGACCATACACTCCTATTTCCTAGGGTACAACAGTATCCACGCACAATTTTGAGGTGAGTCCACAGGAGGCACTAATAAAGCATTGCAGAGATAGCATTGCAGTGTCCATAGATTTTTCTGACACTATTTACAGAGTCACACGACCCTCTTGGAAACTTTGCTCTGAGAAAGCAGATGAGATTTGCAGACTGTGTAGTTATTATTCTGAAGGGCAAGTGTGACCGGCATGTAGGCATGTTAAGTTGTTAAAAGTTGTCTTGAGGTGGCATATCGTATTATCTTAGCTTTTGATGTACATTTGTATCTATATGAAAGGGGGAGAAATTTCTCTATTAGTATCCAAATAAAAGAAGATTGTAACAGGATGTTCGAATATTCTGTTGATTTTTTTTTAACCTAGAGTGAAACAAAGCCATCTCAGATAGATGGGGAGATGACTTAAAAGGCTAGAAAAGATGCTTTGCATGAGGGGTCCCCTGAGTACCTCCAGGAGTGGTCCCTAAGCATCTCACTAAGAAACACCCCTTATAAAAATAAACTGGAATAAACACTACCCATACTAAGTGGGAGGGCAATAACTAATCTAACATTTTTCTGCATAGTTAGATGAAAATTCCCAACCAGTTATATTCACTCTGGGAACTCAGACTGTTTGCAAAGATTGAGGCACCACAAGTGAAACTTGGCATTAGAATTCAAAGAATAAAATCATCCTGTAACCTGCCACAAGGTTTTTGGTTTCTCTTATTGTGATCAGTGTATTTAAATATGGTCTGACCTTGGAGTGGGGCATTGAGTGGAGCAGTTTCAATTTTAAGGAGCCCTAATCAATTAATCACTTAACTTCCTGTTAGTCGTCGATTTGCTCGAGCGGGTGCCAGTAACATCTCCATTTGTCCCTGTTGCGCGCTAGTGTAGCCCAATGTTATCTGATCACTCTGGGAACATGAAGAGCCTCAAACCGATCGTTCATGATCTTGATGAAGAAGTCTGACCATCTGGTAGGTGGGCGGCCACGCGGTCTTTTGACATTCCGTGGAATCCAGCTGGTAACAGCTCTAGTCCAGCGGTCGTCTTTAAATCTCATTACGTGACCAGCCCATCTGATTTTCAACACCTTGGCAAACGAGACAGCATCTCTGATTCTTGATCGTCAACAGATGTCTGAACTCCGGATTCTTTCTCTCATTTGAGTGAAACGTGATATTCCAAGTATAGCTCTTTCAATTCTTCTTTGGGAGACCTGAATAGCGTTCTCATCCTGTTTGTGTAGGGCCCAGGTCTCTGAGGCATATGTTAATGCAGGAAGAACAGTGGAATCAAAGAGATGTGCCCGGAGCCAGAGGTTCTTCGCCCTCTTAGCTATTTCTTCGATGCTCTTGAAGGCATTCCAAGCTGCTCTCTTCTTCCAGCGCAGCTCAGGTGCCAGGTCATTTGTCATGTTGACTTCTCGACCTAGATACACATAACTGTTGCATTCGGAGATGGTCCTTCCGTTAAGAGCGAATGGGGCATCAGGAACGAGGCTGTTTCTCATAAACATTGTCTTCGTAAGATTCAGCTGTAGTCCTACCTTTCCACACTCACGGTCGAAGTCGGCCAGCATTTGTGCCACTTGGCTGATGTTTGGTGTTATTAAAACAATGTCATCATCAAAGCGGAGGTGATGTAGTTGCTGACCATCTATCTTCACTCCCATTCCTTCCCATTCCAGTCGTCACATGATGTTCTCGAGGGTGGCACTGAAGAGTTTTGGTGAAATGGTATCACCCTGCCAAACCCCTCTCTTGACATTAATGATTACTTCTTTGTAGAATGGTGAGATCCTGGTAGTGAATCCGCAATACAGCTCACGGAGGATCCTGATGTATTGGGCTTGAATGCCCTGATTGGCTAGGGCTTCAATGACCGCTTCTGTCTCAACAGAATCAAAGGCCTTCTTTAAATCAATGAACGTTAGACAGAGCAGCATCTTGAACTCCCGAGAAACCTCAATGAGCTTGGTTATCGTGTGGATATGGTTGATGGTGCTGAATCCTTTGCGGAACCCGGCTTGCTCGCATGGTTGTCCTTCATCTAGTGTTCTGCCAATTCCTAGTTAGGATGACTCGAGTGAACAACTTGTAGATGACAGACAATAGGCAGATCGGGCGATAGTTGCCAATGTCATGGATGTCTCCCTTCTTGAACAGTAGTACGGTCCTGCTGATTTTCCATTGGGACAGAACCTTGCATTCAGACAGGTAGCATATGAAGAGCCAAGCCAGTGTATTGATGAGTACTGACTGCAGGTTCTTCAGGTGTTCAGGTCTGACCTTGTCTGGGCCGGGTTCTGTTTGTTTCTTTACTGACTAAATGGCGTGTCGGATTTCGGAAGGGAGAATGTTGGGAACGACATATCTATCCTATGGAATTTGGTATGTCGGCAAGTGGACATGGCTATCAAAGAGATTTGAGTAGAAGTCATGGATAATCTTCTCCATTGCCATTCTGGAGGATGTGATAGATCCATCAGGACGTCGGAGGGCAGTCATCTTGGTCTTGTAGTTGGCGAAGGACAGGCGGGCATTACGAATGCTTTTCCCGGCTTCTGCCGCATCTACCAGCACTTCTGCTCTTCTCTCTTTGAGATCTTCCTTGATCGCATCTCTGCACTGCTTTGCGAGCTCGGATGTTCACTTGCGGTTGCCTGAGGCATGCGCCAAAACACTCTGGCGAATAAGCTCAAGAGTTTTTGAAGACAGGCATTTTTTTATGGCTATCTCTCTCTTGGCATTCCTCGCACAATCATGGAGGTGCTGAACCAATGGATCGTATTCCTCGTCAATGTTGTCAACAATGGCATCTTTCCATGTTGCCGCAATAGTGCCAAAGAGCTCCCAGTTGGTGGTCGTTCTGGGAGTTCTCTTTTTAAACTTTGCAACCCTTTCTCCCCGCTCTGTGAAGTAGAATTTTGCATGAAGGAGACGGTGGTCCGATCCCATTGGGAATTTTGGGACAACAGCGACATCGGTCAGGCAAAACCGTCGATTGAATATGATGTGGTCTATTTCGTTGTGGAATCGTCCACCGAGAGACTCCCATGTCCAACGTTTAGATTCTGCCTTCTGGAACTGTGAGTTACCATGGATGGTCTTGGTCGACGATGAACTCAGACAATCTGTCACCGTGTTCGTTCCATTCTAGGCCATAGGTCCCGATGTGAAGTTCTTCAGCTGATCTTCTCGGTCCTATCTTGGCATTAAAATCACCCACAATGATCTTGTAGAAGGTGTGGTCTTCTTTATAGAACTTCTCCAGCTCCATGTAGAACTTCTTTAAGGAGCCTAAAATAATAAATAAACATAATAGAAGCTAAGGGATTCTTGCTATATTTGAGAAAACAGATTGAATAAGAAATTAATCCTCTACCATCCTATCATTCCACAAGAGTGAGGCTAATAAAATTCCAATCATATTTTTCAGTTCCACTATCAACACTTGAGCTCAAGACACTCCAGATCCCTTTTCCTGATCCTTATACAGTTTTCACTCATTTAGCATCCTCTTTCTATTTCATTAATTATTTTGAGCTCTGCTCACTGGAGCAGTGTTGACAATCACAAATGAACACATACAAATCAGAAACAGATTCCTTTGGAGAGATAGTAGAACGGGATAAACCAGGAATCTGATGCTCAGCCTAGATAACTGGGCTGGAAGAATTGGAATGATGCAACTATTTTGGGAGAGGGAAGTGGCTGCTGTGTGATGGACAAAGAAACTAAGATGTATGTCTAGAGAAAGTTACCTCCTTGGTACAAAAGTGTTCTCACACAGAGAGCATCATTCCTTTCAAATGACTCTTATTCTGTATAAACATAAGAATTCTTATATTTTTGTGAGAGCTGGAGCGATAGCACAGCGGGTAGGGTGTTTGCCTTGCACGCAGCCAACATGGCCAACCCGAGTTCGATTCCTCCGCCCCTCTCGGAGAGCCTGGCAAGCTATCGAGAGTATCTTGCCCACACGGCAATGCCTGGCAAGCTCCCCGTGACGTATTCGATATGCCAAACACAGTAACAAGTCTCGCAATGGAGATGTTACTGGGTTCGCTCGAGCAAATCGATGAACATTGGGAGGACAGTGATACAGTGATACAGTGATATTTTTGTGAGAAGAGTGAATACAGGTGTTAGATGCAGCAAGAGGCAAGTGAAGAAAATCATTGGGAATTAAGGCTAGTTGAGACATACGGACAGCTCTGTTCATTGCCACTCAGCACAATAGCCAAGGTATAGAAACAACTCAGTTGCCAAGCTGCAAGGGACCAGATCAAGAAGCTGTGGTATATATAAAAAAGAATACTATGTAGCTCTAAGAAACAATAAAATCATGCAATTTGGAGCAACATTGACGGATCTGGAGGATGTCATGCTGAGCAAAGTAGAAAGAAAGGGATAAGAATTATTTCATGCTAACTTTTCAGTATCAGTATTGCAAGCCACAGTGCCCAAAAGGAAAGGAAAGGGGGACAGAGAGAGAGAGAGAGAGAGAGAGAGAGAGAGAGAGAGAGAGAGAGAGAGAGAAGAAAAGTGCCTGCCATAGAGGCAGGCAGGGAGGAGGCTGAAGAATGATGGGAGAGAACCTGGGGACACATGCTGGGAAATGTACACTGGTGGAGGGATGGGTGTTGGGAAACTGTATGACAAATCCAATCATGAGCAGCTTTGTAAGGATCAGTCTATTCAATAAAAAAGTTTAAAAAAATAATTCTAACTCATATGTGGAACCTAAAGTTACACAGCAGGATAGCAACAGAAGGCCAAAGGTAACACAACAGGAGAACTGATCCACACAATTGAGTTGGAGTGTGACTCTGGGAGGATTGAAAGGAAGACGAGTTGGGATCCTTGGGGGAGGGAGGGAAGTACAATATTGATGGTGGTGTTGGAATTTTGTGCATGAGAAGCCACCAAAATATTGCAGAATCACAGAACCTCAATGAAAATTTGAAAAAGACTAGTTGGAGGCAAAATAAATAAATCTAAGATTGGTGTATCATGGTTGCATGACTACCAGCTTCATTGTATGCTCATGACAATACTTTGGGAGGGGCACGTCTGGTTTTCTGCTCAAGGGTCACTCTTGGCAATACTTAGGGCATCATACTGGGGGGTTTGAACCAGGGTCTGCCACATGCAAGGCATCTTACCCACTGTACTATTCTTCTGGGCCTACAATTGTTTTTTCAAGGTAAAAATCACACCCACTTGTACTATCACAGTTTACAATTGCCAGAGCAACCCCTTGAAACGGCCAAGTATGGTCAAAATCTGGGCTATATCTTGGCTCCCAAACCAGAGATTTGCTCTTCTGAAAAGTCATGACTATTTCACTCCTAATTAATTTGTCCTATTCCTATTTGTTTTTTAATAATTCCTTTAAAATTTAATTTAATTATTCCTATTACAATTTGTGTAGAAATGATGCTACACACTCTGGAGTATACCTATACTTGGACTCTTAGAGTGTGTACTCTATTTTATCAAATTGTCTTACTTAGAACACATCTGTTTACTCAGTATAGTTACATTCTGATTCTTGAGTGGTTGCTTTTTTTTTTAATTTATATTAATGTAGAAAAAAAGCCATAACGGTTGATAAATTTCTAAAATTAAACTTGATTAGATAACAAAGCTCCAATATTAAAACTAATAAATATAAAAAAATCAATTTACATGAAAATTATTATTCTGATGTCAGGCATCAGAATAATTATCCTTCAGAATTATTATTCTGAAGTCCTCTCTAAGAATTTATTAAATTCTTGTGAGTTGAGTTTTCTGTATTATTGATTTTGCTTGTTGAGTTTAGTCTGCTTCTGTGTTACTTTCCCATCTAATTTGGTGTACTTCTCCTGGAATTTCAGTGTCCAGGAATTGGGAGGTGTTGCATGGCCAAGAGATTTCTAGACCTATGATATGGGCCCATGGGTGGACTTAGTGGTGGCTGTGGGAAGTGGGACTGATCGGGGTGGTTTCTGGAAGTATGGGGGTGGGTGGGAGGAGGTTACTCAGCCTGACTCTCTTGGCTTGGGTTTTGGGTACCTGAAGTTAGTCAAGTTTGGTATCTCAGCCTGTTTTTACTATTGATTTCTCTGACTCCTGCTAGAATTCTTTCCATATGGGTTGAATGAGCCTAGTTTTTCTATCAGGGCCTAAAGATCTTGGCACTGACTGGGGATGTCCTGCAGCATATCAAAGGCTTGCAGCTCCTGGGAGAAGACAGAATGTAAATTGCAATTAATTTCAGGTGATTTTGGAGTACAGTTGCAGCAAATTCATAGTTAACAGTGATATATATTCTTTCTGTTCTAATATATTATACATATATACACTGTTGGGAAAAATCTAGAGGGAAGTAGACTTCCAAACCAAATTGTAAAGAGTGGTAATACCAGAGCTGTGGAATTGATTGCAGGCTATTTTTATTCTTGTTTATCTACACTTTCCTAAAAATGTGTTAAGAAGAATCAGGCTTTAAAAAAATAATGGGAAGTTTCACAATCAAATCTAATCAAAACTAAATATAATACGTGCCTAATTTCCCCAAACCATGCTCAGGATGAGTATGTAATATACTGCTGGGCATTTTAGTTCCTGGATTTTTATTTTCATTGAAATTGAGATTTTCTTAAAGGTAGCTTATTTTCTCATCTAAGAAAATGGAATCTTTTGAGTTAATTTCTCCCAAATTTGATTTTTAAAAACTAATCTAAAACTCGATAAACTAAAACTTAAAAATCAAAGACTAATTCCATTACCATTAGTTCAGCATACCAAAGGTAAGATTATCGTGTCATATTTACTAAAAGTAATTATCTTGACTATGCATGGAAGAGTAGACAACTATGCATGGAAACCAAATCTCAATTAAGGAAAATCATTCTAAGTTCATGAGCCACGGTGGAGCTGTCATCAAAATTATGCAAAAATAACGAGATCCAGGGTTGTTGTTTTTAATGAGGATTAAGGATTCCGAGTCCAAAGAGCAAAACTGCAAAAAAAAAAAAAAAGGAAAACTGCAAGAGCCTAGTGCGGTTTCTTCTGAAATCTGAGCGCCTTCTCCCCTAGCCCCTTACTCTGCTCTGTCAGGTCCTTGATCTCCACTCCCCGTGGCCTCAACAGGACTGTGAACCCATTCCACCTGACTCCACCAGGAACTCTTCTTTCTGGGGTTCAGGAATGTGACTTTTATGGTACGGTCGCTAGACATCTCGCCCTGTCCCCGCCTTCGCCCCGCCCAATCCCCGCCCCAACCCACGCCCGTCCAAGCTCCGCCCCACCCGGCCCAGGCCCCACCCAGCCCAGGCTCTGCCCCACTCCCGGCGCCCCCACGCCAAGGTCCCGCCCCGCCCAAGCCCCGCCCCAGCCCAACCACGCCCCAATCCGGGCCCCCACGGCGACGCCCCGCCCAGGTCCCGCCCCGCCCTCCCTGCCCCCGGCCCGCCCTGGGTTCCACCCCGTACAGACCCCGCCCCGCCCAGACCCCGCCCCGCCCAAACCGCGTCCCGTTCTGTCCAGGCCCCGCCCCACCCCGCCCAGATCCCCCCCCGGCCCGCCCCGACCTGTCCAGGGCCCCGCCCCGCCCCGCCCCGCCCCCGCCCACCCGCCCTGGTCCCGCCCGCCCCGGCCCGCCCCGCCCCGGCCCTCCGGCCGCGCGGCGCCCCCCGCCGCAGCCTCTGTTGCGCAGCCGGGCGGGAGCTGGGGCGTCCGGCGGGCTCCCGCCCGGAAGCGGAAGCGGAAGCGGAGGCGGGGGGCGGGGCGCGGCGCGGCGGCGGTTGATTCGGAGCGCCCCGTCGTGCGTCCGCGCTTCGCCGAGGCTGCGGGAGATGGTCCGGTCCGGCGCCCGACCCGGCCAGGTGAGGCCGGAGCGCCGGCGTGGACCGGGAGGGCGGAAGCTCGGAGCGGCCGGAGCGCAGAGCCGGGCGCCCCGGAACCCGGACTGCGGCGGCGCAGGAAGGTTGGGAGGCTGGCCGGCGCGACCCCGGACCGGCCGGGCCCCCGCCCCGAGCCCCGAGCCCCGAGCCCCGGCCCGCGAGGCCTGGCCCAGCGCCTGCCCCTCCGAGGGGTGCTCAGGCCGGGGCCGTGCGGCTGCTCGCGGAGACTCCCGGGCGGGGGCGGCCGTTCCGCGGTGGCGCCTCCCGGTCGGTCCACCTCGGCTTCGTGCTGCCGCGGGCTTGGCCAGCTCCCCCCCGTGCCGGCTCCCAGTACTGCGGCCTTGCACGTTCGTTTCAGGACTTTCCGTGGGCACGTCGAGGCCAGTCCCGCCACAGGAGAGGGTCCTTTCATACTGCACGCAGAATGAGTGCAGTTAGCAAAGAGGGAAGGATGGTCACAGCATCTGAGTTTAATTTACTCTGCCACAGCTGGTGGTGGTGTTTAGCAAAGCCCCCAGCACGACTCTGGACCACCTTTCCTTTTTCTAGAAAATGGGTATTAAAAATCTGCCTCAAAGGATGGGAGAGGTTCGGTGCAAGAATCCCCTCAAATAAGTTTCACGCAGCATGACGAGCAACAGAACTTAACCTTTCAAAAAGCTTATTTACTGTCTTATAAATGATAAAGCAGGTAATGTTTAAATGGCACTTATATCGCAAGTACTATTCTAAGTACTTTTACATATTACGTAGTATTACTCAGTCTGCAGGCTGGAGCCATAGCACAGTGATAGGGCCTTTGCCCTGAGCACAGCCAGCTCCCCCAGCCGGTTTGATTTCTCTGCCCCTCTCGGAGAGCCCGGCAAGCTACCGAGAGTATCTCGCCTGCACAGCAAAGCCTGGCGAACTACTGGTGACATATTCAATATGCCAAACACAGTAACAACAAGTCTCAAAGTGGAAAGTTACTCGGCCCACTCGAGCAAATTGATGAACAACGGGAGGACAGTGCCACCGTGCTACCTCTCAGTCTGCACAATAACCTTTTGAGATAGGCTATTATCTCTTGTAAATGAGAAAAAATGAGGCATGAGTAGTTATTTAAATAACTTGATTAGTTATAGGACTGATGAGCAACGGAGACAGGATTCAGATCCAGGTAACTGGAGCCAGATCATATTTTAAAATGTTACATTATATCTGGGCTGGAGCGATAGCGCAGCGGGTAGGGATGACCTGGGTTTGATTCCTCCAGCCCGCAAGCTACTTACAGCCCACACAGCAGAGCCTGGCAAGCTACCCTTGTATTGGACATGCCAAAACAGTAACAAGTCTCACAATGGAGATGTTACTGGGCCTGCTGGAGATGAACAACCGGAGGACAGTGCTACATTTATATCTAGTTGGATATATAATTTCAGGCTAGCTATCCCTTGGAAATCTAGGCTTGCACCAGAAATAATCAGAGTGGATTAAGTAGAAATGAAAGGCTTTATAGTCGGATTGTTCTCCAAATGTACTTTTATCAGGAGGAGATAACGCTTATAAGATAAACTTATAGTTTTCCCCTGCTATCTGAGTGTGTCCCTGTGAAATATTCTGTAGGCTGGAATAGCATAAAGCAAACAAGCAATTACTGCTGATTTGTATGGAAACATTTTTGAACATTACCCGATAGTCGTAGCATAATATACCTGAAAACGCACAAAGTCTAAAATAATACATGCGGTAAATGCAGAATGATGTGATAAATTTACAGCCTCTGGAGAGTAGTTCTGGGCGCAATTAGCAGGACACCTCTGCCTCTAGTAGCTGCTGAATGCTATGTTCCTTTTTTTTTTAATCTTTTGTCATAAAAGACAAAATCCTTGCACGTCTTGTGGTCAACACAAACATATCAGTGTGAGTCTTTCATCCATCCGCTTTCAAGGAGTGGCAGTAAGGTATGAGACAGAGAGGAAGTTAAATACCAAACGCTTCCCTGCATGCCAGTGGCACTGCTGTTGGTGATCCCACAACTGCCCCTAAGTGTGCAACCTCCAGCTCAGCTGTGCTGTGTGCAGGCGCCTCAGCTAGAGTCTGCTGGGAAGCACTCCAAAGGTGCAGTCCTCAGCAAGCGCTGCAGTGAAGTGAGCACCTCAACCAAATGCACAGCCCCAGTCAGCACAGCAATATCAAAGGGGGGATAAAATGAAATAAAAATAGGGTTTGGTTTGGTTTGTTTGTTTGGCAATACCCAGCTGTTCTCAGGACTTACTCCTGGCTGTGTGCTGAGAGGTCACACCTGGCTGACCAGCTTGGGGAGCCAAGGATTGAACCCAGGCAGGCTGTGTGCAAGGCCAGTAGCCCTACTCTCTGTACTATTGCTCTGGCCCCCAAGTAGGTTATTTTACAAGAGAGGAGATGTGGAGAAATTGGGACCTCTGTATACTCTTTCTGGGCATGTAAAATGGTGCAGGTGCTATGAAAAGCCATATGGAAGTGCCTTAAAAAAAGAAAAATAGAACTGATGAACATGATCCTGCAGTTCCACTTAATGGGCATTTTCCCTAAAGTATTTAAAACAGGATCTTGAGATAACTATACTCCCATGTCCATTAAAATGTCACTGAGCAGTCACCAAAGTGTTGAACAACCTTAATTATGTGCTCTAGCCTCTTGCTTTATAAGCCAGAGACTAAGGTTCTCTTCAAGGTGGGGAGTCACGTCTGAGCACTACTGCGAGTGGCCCCACAACAAAAGAAAACGAAAAAGAGGAAAATGTGCTGCATACACACACCATGGATTATTACTAAACATTAAAATAAAGGTTAAGTTTTGCCATAGGCAACGTAAATGAATCTTAAGGATGTTAGGCTAAATGAATGTTCCACTTAAAGACCACAGATAGGACAGGAGGTGAGGAGCTTGTCTTGAATGAGGCTGATTCTGCTTTGATTCCCCAGTGCTGCATATGGTCATCTGAGTGACGTCTGTAGTGACCCCCAAGCACAGAGCCAGGACTAGTGCTGTGTACTATCAGGTGTGGCCCTCAGACCTAAAAACCCCAAACAGAATAGGGCAAAATGTCACATCTGTCACAATCAAGTTCACAGAAGCAGAGTAGAATATGAATTGCTAGGGACTGGAGAGAGGCTGAGAGGGTGAATTGGCTAGGAGAGATCTTCTATACATGTCACATAAACCATTGCTTTACAACAAAAGTTCATATTAAGAGGTTAACATTGAAATATCATTCAGTGTCTGGAAATGGAGGTTGGTAATGGTTCCACAACTGTGAATGGTTTTAATGCCAGAGAATTGCACTTAAAAGGGAGTTTGTGCTTAATTGTCTTAAAAGGGAGATTCAATACTGTGTTTACCACGGGTTTTCAAAAAAAGGAAACTATAATTCAGGTTTTTTATTAAGACAGTTTCTGAGAATATAACTGAAAACTCTTTGTGCATCTGCTATCATAGCATTTATTTCGTTGTAGGTGTTGTCTTCTGGAAAGCATACTGGACCTGGTAAATTGGGAAATGGAAAGAAAGGGTAAGTACTTAATAAAGAAGCTTATGATTTCAGCTAATAGCAAGAGATCATTTAGTTTTGGAGGCTGTGAACTGAAGGTTGCTGAGTTCAGAAAACCAGAAGAATCATAACCTTCAGAGGAACTTTTTCTGTTGTCCCATAATGAACAGTTTATATGATCTTCACAGAATACTTATATAAATCTTAATTATTGATGGTTTGTCAGTGTTTATTATTTTGGTTTGGGGCCACACCTGGCAGTGCTCAGAGCTTACTCTTGGCCCTATGCTCAGGGGTCAGTTTTGGTAGGGTTTGGAGTACCATCTAGGGGCTGGGGCTCAAGCCCGGCTTGCAAGTGTGCATGGCAAGTGCCCTCTCCACTGTACTATTGCTCTGGGCCCAAGGACAGATATTCTTATAAAATCTTTGGTGGGAAGAAGTAAGTAAAGTAAAGTAAGTAAAGGCCCTCCCGTTGATCGTCGATTTGCTCGAGCGGGCCCAGTAACGTCTCCATTGGAGACTTTCCTGTTACTGTGTCTGGCATATCGAATACTCTCGGTAGCTTGCCGGGCTCTCCGAGAGGGGCGGAGGAATCGAACTCGGGTCGGCCATGTTGGCCGCTTGTAAGGCGAACGCCCTACCCGCTGTGCTAAATGATTATTTACTAATACTTTGTGGGAAGAAAAATCTTTGGTATGATTTTTAACAATAGTGACAAATTTGTTTTCTAGGATCCGTTTAAGAAAGGTAGCTCGTCTCGAGGCTGACTCCGGCTGTCCCACCCATTCTGATTCAGAAAATCAGGTAAACTTGAACTGAATAAAGACTATATCCTCCCCCCTTTTTTTTGAGTCACCATGAGATACAGAGTTAGAAAGTTGATCGGGGTCAGGGTTCAGCCTTTCGGTGTTCCAACACCCATTTTGCCGCCACCAGCGCACATTTCCCACCACCAGTGTCCCCTGTTTGCCTCCTACCACCCTCCCTCTAGCCTGTCTCTGTGGCAGGCATCCTCCCTCCCTCCCTCCGCTAAGTCCTACAGGGTCCCCGAGGAGAAGGGAGAAGGGCAACGGGGTAAGGAGGGCTGGACAAGCAGTGCTCATGCAGCATCTTTCTGGAACAAGCAGCAGACTTTTATAGGTCTCTAGAAGAAAATGTACATTGGAAAAACATACAGGAATGTTCAGGCTACATCAGTTTGGAAAGTGCTGGGCTTCTAGAGGCCAATGATGTTCTTCTATAATCACATCGTTTCAATGACATTTTCCTTGGTTATGTATTGAAACACCTTAGCAACATGTTCTGCCACCAGAATGAGGAAAGAGCCTGCTAGAAAAATCAGAGAGTCAGCCCTTAGGTTGTGTAACCCCAAGACAATGGTTTCTGTAAACCAGCCTTTAGACAACACATCCCCAGGACAAGAACTTTCTGAATATTAAATTAGCACAGGCTCCTAACTTTCTCTCTCCCCCTCCTTCTCTCCCTCCCTCTCTCCCTCCCTCCCTAGTTCCCCTCATCTCCCCCCCACCCTTGGAATATGCACTTTTAATCAGTCTTCAGGGAGAAGCTAAAATTTAGGTATAAAAATTTAAAGCGAGAGTAATAACTGCCCAAAGGAAGTGTGAGGTCTTTTTGCTTTAAAACGTTGCTTGTTTCACCAAAAGGAAATTGCCTCAGTACTTAGAAATGTTCAAACTTTGTATTTATTTTTCTGCACTAAAATTTCATGTTGAAATTTCTGAGTCGCTTTTTCTTTGCAGAGTGAAGCTCTCCATGGGCTTGATAGGTGTGCTGCTTTGCTGAGGGACATTTTAAGAAAGGATGATTCAGGTTTTAATTTTTTAATTATTTGTTGATCATCTTTTCTCAATTCAGGACATTTCTGGGTGCTAGTAAATTTTTGTTTTAACTTTTAATAGGTCCAGAAATAGCATATTCTGAAAACAGAAGTAACCCCAGACTTTTCGAAGGCAAAAGATATGGGCCTAAAAGGAAAGGGCATGAAAAATGTACTGTTCCTTTAGTCCGGAAAGAAAATGGTAAGTTTTTTTTTTTTTTTGACTTACCTAAATATGATCCTTAGTTCTACTGGTTTGGGTTAATTAGCAGTTATGTACTTAACCTTTCATTTTAATAATATATCGGTTATTCTGGAATATGTACATATCTGTTTCTTTATACTAATTCTAGTCACTGTATTTTTTCTGGGCTGGAGCGATAGCACAGTGGTAGGGCATTTGCCTTGCGTACAGCCAGCCTGGCCGAGCCGGGTTCGATTCCTCCGCCCCTCTCGGAGAGCCTGGCAAGCTACCCGTGACGTATTCGATATGCCAAACACAGTAACAACAAGTCTCAAAATGAAGACATTACTGGGCCCACTGGAGCAGCAAATCGATGAACAGTGACAGTATTTGTTCTAGTTTTCTATTTCATAGGATGTGAAAAAAAGGAGAAATGACTGAAACTCAGAATGACAATATTTGGGAGGGGTGTAGAATCATCTTTGTTCTTCTTGCCACATTCATAGAAAATCACAAATTGTTTGTTTATGTGTGTCTGTGTAGATACTGATTGTCTTTATTTATATGTATATATCCAAAGTAAGTTGCAGTAGGTCGACTTGTTGAGCTACATAGTTAAAATACATGATTCATAAGCAGTTCAGTTTCAGGTTGGATAAAGAGAGCCTGCCACTGGTTGTACTGATTGTAACTGAGAATATTTTACACTTTATGACTGACTACTCACTTCTCTGTGGGATACTTCAGCTGACAGTGTGGGATAAGCCAGCAGTGATTGTGCTGCCCCTTGGAGAGCTGTAAAAGAAGGCAATCATGAAAAGATTGGCAAAAGATCCCACAGTGAGAAATAAGCCGGGCAGGAATGAGAGTAGGTGTCTTCATGGTGCAAGTGCCAAAGTAGCACAGCATTGCGGCTTTGATTCTGTTAGGCTAGGCCTCAAGGCCAGGAAATCATCTGGAGCACTAGCACTGGGTCCTGGGGCTGGGACCGCCGAGAATAGGACATTCATTGGTTGAGTTCTGTTTGGAGCTGGATGATGAGTTAGAGAATGATGCCAAGGAAAGAGCTTCCTAACCCTCTTCCTAACCCTCTTCCTAACCGTCACATCGCCCTGACCTGCTCTTTCACTCACACTTGAAGTGGAGCTGATACAACTAAATACTGTCTTTTAAATGTTGGTTAATTAAAATTTTTTTTTCTTTTTGGGTCACACTGGCGATGCGCAGGGGTTACTCCTGGCTCTGCACTCAGAAATTACCCCTGGCAGTGCTCAGGGACCATATGGGATGCTGGGAATCGAACCTGGGTTGGCCGCATGCAAGGCAAACGCCTTACCTGCTGTGCTATTGCTCCGGCCCCTGGTTAATTTAAATTTAAATTTGAAAATTGTTCCTTCAGTTATTAGAAAACTTTTAAGTATGTTTGAAATAACTTGGGTATGTGAATCTACACTTTCAGCTAAAAGATCTAAATACAGATTTCTGATGATAATACAGTATTTAGATTGAAGTATGATTTTTGTAAAATATACATTGGGTTTAGAGCCTTACTTTTACATAAATTACATGTTCAAGTATATATTTGGATATATTTAAATAAAACATGAAAAAATTTTACTTCTTAATATAGCTACTGGAAAATTTAATTGCACATTTGGTCTATGTTTTATTTTATTTACACTCCTGTGTCAGTTTATGTCTAATATAGGGGTCATCATACCACAGCCGGTTTCATTTTATAGATTATATTTAGTTATTTCCTTTATTTTATAAACAAATTTTAATTGGAGCACACTGTGTTAATTCATTTAAGTACTTTCTGTGATGTATTCGATATGCCAAGCACAGTAGCAACAAAGTCTCCAATGGAGACCTTACTGGGCCCGCTGGAGCAAATCGATGAACAACGGGAGGACAGTGACAGTGACTTTCTGTGTCACAAGGGCAGAGTTGAGTAGTTGCAGTGGCCTTTGGCCTTGTCTGCATAGCCTAAAGTATCAACTTTCTAGTCTTAAGTGAAAGTGTCTGAGCATCTGGTCTGGCCACTTAAAGCAGAGGCCTAGTTCTTGGGGACGTAGTGAACACGCAATGGAGCAGTAGTATCGTTTCCCTATTCCTGGGCCTCCCAGGGTTTTCCTCTTAGGGCATGATATATGTCCAAGGCGCCCTTCCTCGAGGAGCTCTTGAGTGGACGTGGCTGATGGTGGTGCACGGAGGCAGCTGGTCAGGTCCAGTTTAAGCAGATCCAGCGGGAGTCAGAGAGCCAGAAACAGATGATTGTGCTAAAATCAAGAGAATACAAGAAGGGCTTATTTACAGAGGGAGTCACTGCGAAGGGAAGGTGTGAATGGGGTGCAGGGAACCACACAGGCCTGGGGGGGAGATGGTTCTAGAACTGAGAAAAACCCAGATTTGAGAAGCAGGAATGCTCCCGTGGGGCCAGAGCCAGCCCAGGTTTCCCTGGCAGGAGGGGGCAGGAGGGAGTAAGCGCCTCGGCACCAGGCTGCGGGTTCTTTGATATCCCTAGAGCTCTGTTGGGTCAGACCCCACTAAAATTCTGTGGCTGCTGTACAGATTTGGAGGTTGATTTTTATTTACATAAATTAGTGTTTTGGCCTTACTCTATCATGAATGCTGGCGGGGAAAAGCAAGCCCCGGAGGCAGAAGGAAAGGGCTTTAGTAGAGCGTGAGTGGTATGTACATGTGCGTCGTGCGTGCGTGCGTGTGTGTGTGTGTGTGGTTCCCTCCATACCCGCTGCCCGTGGGGGTGGTCCTGTGCAGACCCAGGAGCATTGAACTGGGGAATCTGCTGCTTTAGTCTTAAGCAGTAAGCAGGCCTGTTCTTGGCTCAGCGGGAAACATCACCTCACTTCTCAAGTGACTTCACTGTAAATGCAGTTCTGAGAAATGCCCAGGTAAAGAGCTTAGGTCCAGACAGCTTTTCTTGGAACAGCCAACAAGATGTCCAGGAGCAAAGAGCCAGGAATGACTGCTTTGTTGTTGTTGTTGTTGTTACCAGGAAACTGGTGGGAGAGTGAGTGAGCAGTGGCGAGTTAGTATGGGTGTTTTGTGATTTTTTTTTTTAAAGAAAGGTCAAGATGAAAGCCCCCCTCTGCCCCTCCCCCCTTTTTTCTTTTTCATTGAATCACAGTGAGATACAGTTACAAAAGATTTTCAGTGTTCATACAGTGATGGGACACCCATCCCTCCACCAGTGTACATTTTTTACCGCCAATGTTCCCATTATCCCTCCTGCCACTCCCGTCCCGCCCAATCTGCTGCCTCTACGGCAGGCACTTTTCTTCTTACTTTCTCTCTACTTTTGACCATTATGGCTTGCAATACAGATACTGAAATGCCCTTATATATGATGAACCGAGCTATCAGAATCCCATTTTTCTTCTAAGATGATAAAAGTTTTGGAAGAATCGTATTTTGAAAACTTGTTTTTCTTCTTCCACATTAACATCTTTAGACAATAAGAAACAGATCCTTAAGGAAACTTCTGCTGGAAGTGACCGAGATTCATCAGATGTGGCACAAGATCAGTCCTTGCAAGATCATTATAGAATGTATTCACCCATCATCTACCAAGCCCTCTGTGAGCATGTACAGACACAGATGTCACTGATGAATGAGTTGCCCACCAGGAACTCTGGAAGTTCTGTTCTACCTTGCCATACTGTGTCTGGTTCTGGTTAGTATGAGAAAGTGCTTGATATAAACGCTTAGTTGCCTATTATTGCATAAGCAGTATGAAACGTGAATTAATCTTTTTTTCTCTTTTCCTTTTAGAAACTCAGGCAACTCCACGGTCTTGCTCTGGCTTGTCCACCACTGCCTCAGTCTGGTTCCCTCAGCAGCCGCCCTGCCCTCAGATGGTCCACACTGTGGGTACACTAGATAAGCTGCCCAAGTAATTACCTGCTCTTAGAAATTATTCTGAAGAGACAGAATCGAATGTACTGATTGTACCTTAATGCAGAAGACAGTAAAGACCAATTACTTGTTCAAGATATTTTTTATTAGAGAATCTTTAATCTTTATTAAGGACAACTCTAAGGGGGCTTGAGAAGGACCAAGGAAAACAAAAGAAGCTACCCAGAGCCGGCACCTGGGCACGACTGCTGCTGGCACATCGATAGAGCATTTTCAATAATTGGGTTCTTTGCATAGGTTTCAGTTTCAGGTTTTTATTTGTTAAGTTTTTTATCATTTAAAATATATGTGTATATATATGTATGTATATGTATATATATATATATATAATTAAATCTTGGGCTGGAGCGATAGCAGGGCTGGAACAATAGCACAGTGGGTAGGGCATTTGCCTTGCACACAGCCGACCTGGGTTGGATTCCTCCGTCCTTCTCAGAGAGCCCGGGAAGCTACTGAGAGTATCCCACCAGCACGGCAGAGCCTGGCAAACTCCCCGTGGCATATTCAATATGCCAAAAACAGTAACGACAGGTTTCACAATGGAGATGGTATTGGTGCCCACTTGAGCAAATCGATGAACTACAGGAGGACAGTGCTGCTACAGTGCTGCATAATTGAATCTTACATAGCTTTGTTGCTTCTTTCATTTAGTATCTTATTGTAAACATGTTTTTCTCTTACAGTATGTTTTTTTAAATTTTTAATAAGTTGCTAATATTTGAGTGTATATCTATACTCTGTGTAAACTACTCCCCTATGGTTAGACATTTAAGTAACAGCCAGGATATTTACTACCATAATAGTTCTGGAGAAATATGATGCTTTTTGTATGTTTGAGGTTATTTTCTTACAGTGTCGTTTCTTTTTTTCCTCTTTTTTTTTTAAAGCTTTTTGGGTCATACCCGGCAATGCTCAGGGCTTACTCCTAGCTCTGCACTTTGGAATTTCTCCTGGCTGTGCTCAGGGGGCCAGATGGGATGCTGGGAATTGAACCCAGGTCGAAGTGTGCAAGGCAAATGCCCTACCCTCTGTGCTATCACTCCAGCCCCATTACAGTGTCGTTTCTTAAAGTGCAAGTGTTTTGTGTGTGTGTGTGTTTTTTTTTTTTTTAGTGAGACACCATGAGGTACAGTTGTAGACTTACAAATTTTTGTGCTTGGGTTTCAATTATACAATGATCAAATACCCATCCCTCCACCAGTGCCCATTTCCCACCACCACGCATCCCAGTATCCCACTTCCCATCCCCCTCATCCCACCCTGCCTCTATGGCAGGGCATTCCCCTCTAGCCCAAAGTAGGCTAATTTTTAATGTCTGAAAGCCATGTGTGATATTCACCATTTTAGCCATGGCGCTATAATGTTTCCACGTTGCAAACTGAACTAATTTTTTTTCTAAACAACAGTGATGGGGCTGGAGTGGATACAGTGGGTAAGGTGCTTGCCTTGCATGCAGCCAATGCAGGTTCAAGCTCAAGTATTCTATATGGTTCCCTGAGTACCGCCAGGCATAATTCCTGAGAACTAGGCCGGGATAATCCCTGAACATCTTTGGGTGTACCCCCAAACCAGAGGGGAATAAAAACCACTTTAGGAGCTGGAGAGGGTGTAGGGGGAAAGGGCGTCGCCTTACATGCAGCCGTACGTATGGTCCCATGAGCACTGCCAAAAGCAGTACCTGAGTGCAAACTAGAGTGATCCCTGAACACAGCCAGGTGCGGCCCCCAGAACAAACAGAATTTAAAAAAAAAACCAATACTGTGCTTAGGAGAAATCCAGCATATTAGTGATAATCTGTAACTCCATCCTTCTAAAGTCATTTTCTAATATTTCTGGCTTGATCTTATTACAACTAATGCTTATATGTCAGTGCTTACATTTTTGAAGATTTACCTTGGTTTTGTGGTTTTGTCTTTTTTTCTGTAGGAAGTTCAGACTGATGATGACAACCCTTTTTCATCACAAACTAAAACGCTCTCTGTGAACTCTACTGATATTCTGAGAAATTCCTTCAATTCTAGCCTTGGAGTTCCATGTAGATTTCCTGCAGTGGACAAACCAGCCATTCGTGCGTTTACTAATGGTACTCTGCCTCAGGAAGAGATTCCCAGGGAACCAGATCTACTAAAGTGTTTCCAAACATACATTAATCTGTTACGTTCACGTGGAAAAGAGAGCCAACCAGATAATCAGACACCAGGAAGCCCTACTCTGTCACAACCAACTTTCTTGGCTGCTGAGGAAGAAAAAAGTGCCAGAGAGAAACTTGGAGAGATAACAAGTGAGGGAAAGGATTTAAACACACATAGGCAAGATTCGAGAATGAAGGATTTGCAGAAGGCAAAGAACGTGAACCAGTGCGCTGAAGAAATCAGAACTGTAAAATATCTGTTGGGAGAGCTCAAGGCCCTGGGAGTAGAACACGGTCGGTAAATAATTTCTAATTTTCTGAAGCATGGAGTTAATTATCAATGACAGGATCATATTATTTTAGCTATTAAATTTAGAATAATTGAAATGGAATTCATGGTATTCTTCCACATATGCATGTTGCGCTAAGAAGGAAATTAGTTCTGCTTGTTTTATTGTTTTACATTTTGGTCCATTAGTTTTCCATGGATTTAAAATGTGCTAGGAAATACCACGCAGTGTTCTTATTGCAAATGTGTATTCTATTTGGTTCAAAGGGACCTTGGAAAGATTCAGTGGAAGAGAATTTGTAGAGATGAACTTTTAAAGGTTAGAGGATTAGCCTCCTAGATGATCAGCTCCCTAGAGTAGACTCATACTTTTTCCTGTTAAATAGTGGCAGAGATGGTCTGCCCAAAATTTCTTTAATAACCAAAAGTTAAAGTGTATAACAAAATAAGTAACAACCCATTGTTTGCTTTTTTTTTTTTTTTTTGCTTTCTGGGTCACACCCTGCGATGCTCAGGGGTTACTCCTGGCTTTGCACTCAGGAATCACTCCTGGTGGTGCTCAGGGGACCATATGGGATGCTGGGAATCAAACCCGGGTCGGCCGCGCGCGTGCAAAGCAAACGCCCTCCCTGCTGTGCACCCAATAGCACCCTGCTGTGCTATTGCTCCAGCCCCCATTGTTTACTTTTTGGAGAATTAACTTTTTAATCTCTCAGTTTCCTTTCATTATTTTTGTTATTGTCATTATTAAAGAAATTATGAAGAAAAATATTTTAGCACATCCCCAATCCTAGAAAATACATTATCAAGAAAAATATTTTAGTTAAGTTTATGAGGTATTTGGGCCAGATCATATTCATTTTTATATGTGTTTATATTTTAAACAATGACTTTTGCTTGGAGTAAGCTATGGATTTGTCAACACAAATTTTTGTAACAAAATTTTTTGTAACACAGTAATTCATTATGGAAAAATATGAATACTTGATATTTGCAGACTCCCAAAAAGAGATATTAAATTTTAAAATGTATCTCTAGGAATATAGCACCATTAGTCCCAGTGGTTTAATATATTGAAACTTTGGTGGCATTCCAGTTGTGGCTCAGTGGTAGAGCAAGTGCCCTATATGAGTAAGACCCTGGATTTGATCTCTGGGCCACACCAAAAAAAAAAAAAGCATTTTTAACTTGTCTCTTAAACAAATACTTACACTAACAATAATGATACCGTTAATAATAATACTATTGCCTGTCATACTGAACACTTAACGTGTACCTGGCATGGTGTTAAATGTTTTACATGCATTTTCTTACTGAAACTCACATTGATTCTCTGAGGTACTGTTACTCCACCCATTTTACAGATTGGAAATTGAGACTTAGAGAACAGTATCTTGTGTAACCCTTTTGGCAGCCCTGTGAGGTACTCTTCTTATCATTTAACATATAGAAATTTTGGCTGCAAGCAGTGGGTCTTCTGACTAATGTGATACTGCCGGCTCTGTCAGCGCCTGGACCACTGACCCCTGCACTTGCTGCAGACCTACTCCGCGGAGGTTGGACGGCAGCTTGACTGGCACAGTTATTTACTCTGCGCCTCTATTTTTTATCTAAGAATATTAATCTATTGTATTTTTTAATTTATGATGTATTTTCTAGGGATGGGGTTATGATTCAGCTGTAATAGTTACTTCCCTTGCACATGTGAGCCTGGGGTTTGAGTCCCAGCACTGCCCAAAGTAAATAATAAGAAAATAAATAGAATATGCTATCTTAGATGTTAGCCAATCACTGTATCACTGTATCACTGTCATCCCGTTGTTTGTCGATTCACTCAAGCAGGCGCCAGTAACGTCTCTGTTCCTCCCAGCCCTGAGATTTTAGCCGGCTCGCCTTACTCATCTTCTCCCAATGATTTGAGGCTCTTTCGGGGTCAGGGGAATGAGACCTGTTATGGTTACTGGTTTTGGCATATCAAATACGCCACGGGGAGCTTGTGAGGCTCTGCCCGTGCGGGCGGGATACTCTCAGCTTGCCGGGCTCTTGGAGAGGCATATATGTATGTATATATATATATGTGTGTGTGTATGTATGTGTGTATATATATATTATCTCTATATATTAGCTAACAAATCATAGAGAAATATATATATTATCCTGATTTGTTAGCTAATATAAATGTTAAATGTTTTTAGTTTACAGAAAATTTTGGTGGAATTTTTTTGGGGGGAATAAAAGATTTAAAATCTACCCCCTACTCGTATCTACTTGCCCCCTGCCCCCTCCAAAAATCCACTTGTCACAGTCTATAAATGTGGCTTTGGTTGCATGTACACTCTGACCTGGTACAAGTGTCTGGTGGATCAGATGTAAATGTGGCTTAATTAATGCAAATCAAGGGGCCGGCATCAGTGAAGTGAGCTGTGGCTCATTGTATTAACTCTACCATATAAAATTAAAAAATTAAATGAACCCTTGATAGAAGTCTTTTCCTTGATATTTTGTCGAATTAAATCATCTAAAGTGAAATATTTGCTCATGCCAGGATCAAAGGTTGTGTTGTAAATGCCAATTCTATGTACCCATTGTAGTCATTTGGTAAATGTGGCTAAGAGGTTTGTGTAATCTATCTTCCTACTACACTCTGTAACTGAAAAACATGAATGATTCTTTGATTTAGGGCTAAGTTTTAATTTGATTAATTCTAAATAAGCAAATGTAGGAAAGGAGAAAATCTTCCTACCAAACTCCGTAACTGAAGAACATGAATAATTCTTTGATTTAAGGCTAATTTTTAATTTGGTTAATTTAATTTTAAATAAGCAAATGTAGGAAAGGAGGAAATAGATTTTTTTTGGGGGGGTCACACCTGGCAATGCACAAGGGTTACTCCTGGCTCTGCACTCAGGAATTACCCCTGGCGGTGCTTGGGGGACCATGTGGGATGCTGGGAATCGAACCTGGGCTGGCCACATGCAAGGCAAACACCCTACCCACTGTGCTATCACTACAGTCCCAGAAATAGATTTTTAAAATAAGCATCTAGTTGAATGTATAGAAAGTTATACATATTTGTATTTTTTCCTTTAATAGTCATGAATATTCTCATTTTAAACAGTTTACACTATGGGACAGGAGCGCTACTGTACTGGGCAGAGTGCTTGCCTCATACATGGCCAGCTTGGGTTCAAACCCTGGCAGCCCATATCGCCCCTTGAGCACCACCTGGAGTGATCCCTGAGCACCACCAGTGTGGCCAAAAAACAAAAACCAGTTTAACTCTAATGGTGATATGGGGACAAGGATGGAGGATCAGGGGTCCGTGGTGGTAGTAGTGGGAGTGGTGTGTGTAGTGACTTTGATGCTGTTTAACCATGTTACCTTAGCTAGGGCAGAAAAATTCGAGCTGGAGAAAGAACAGTGGGTAAGGCTGCACTACCATGCGCCTGACCTGGGGTCACTTTCTTGACACCGAGTATGCTCCCGTGAGCACCACTATGAGTGACCCCCGAGTTCAGAGCCAGGAGTAAGCCCTGAACTTTTCTGGGTGAAACCAAAAATTAAAAAATAAATAAATAATTTAGAGGGCCAGAGAACTTAAGCAGTAACACATACATGCATGTATCAGATCTGTATTTAAGCCCTAGCACCCCATTCATCCCCCCAAGCACCTCTGGGAGTGACCCCCGAGTACTGAGCCAGGCGTGGTTCTGATTGCTGCTAGCTTGTGGTGGCCCCCCATGCCAGATCAAACCAGACGAAAATTTATAGTATGATTATTTTTTCCTCTGACTTACAGGGGATACAGAAATTCAGAGACTGATTACAGAATTGGAGGCATGTATGTCTCTGCTTCCAGCAATGCATGAAAACAAAAGTAGTATTCAAGTTGAAATAGCACTGGCTGTACAACCATTGAGAAGTGAAAATGCTCGGTTACGCAGGTAAAAATTGTTCGCTGAATTTTTTTTTTTGGTCTCCATACAGAGATGTCTCATCGCCAGCACAAAGGGTCCAAATGAGATGTCAAAGTCTCCAGAAGGAAAATAGATTTATTGTCTTACTTTTTCTGCCTTTTCTTCCATTTTCCAAACTTTGACACCATTTCGTCTTTAATTACTTCTGCATATTGTTTCTCACCTATTTTCCTAACAACTATTATCACTTGTGTGTAGAGAAAATAAAGTATTCAGAATATTTATCAGAATAGACTGTGTTTCAGCCAACCATAGCAAGATCAAGAATATGAGGGTCATGCTAGAGCGAAAGCTTCTTTCTTACACCAAGACCCTCACAACACCCCAGTCTCTCACCAAATGACTCAAGAGTTAGTTATGATGAAGTCATTGTTTTCCAGAAAAAGATATGTCACACCAACTCTTATATTATCTGATACTCTCCATGTCCATCCATGTGTAAGCAGATTTCGTGACTTCATTTTTCCTAACAGCGGCATAGCATTCTACTGTGTACCATAGTATACCATAGTTTCTCTCTCTTCTCATCTGTTCTCAGGCACTTGGGTTGCGTCTAGATTCTGGCTATTGTGAACCGTGCTGCAATGAACATAGGCGTGCAGATGACTTTCCTGCATTGTGGTTTTAGGCTCCTGTGGTATATTCCCAGGAGCAGTACTGCTGGATCATATGGAAGCTCAGTTTCTAGGTTTTTCAAGTTTTTTAAATTTCAGCGCTTGAAATAAACATATATATTTCTTTATTTTTTCTTGTTTTTTTCCCTCCCCACATAATTGAATTTCACTAATGTTCCCAGGCGTCCCCCACCCCACCTGCCCTCTTGACAGGCCCTTTCTGAGTTTGGGTGTTAGAGTTTTGTTCTCTTGATTTCAGTGTGGTTGACTCTGGTTTGGGTATTTGGCTCTATCATTCCTCAATACCACCTTAGTACCTGACTCCTTTGACCTGGCCCCCAGTGCTTCTCATCTGTCTCCCCCTACCCCCCTGCTTTCTTTCCTTATACTCTGGTACGAGATTGATTAGGGCATCCCCCCCCCCTTTCTTTTTTCTTTTCTTTTATTTGGTGGGAGGGGGGGGTCACACCCAGCAATGCTCAGGAGTTACTCCTGGCTCTGCACTCAGGAATTACTCCTGGCGGTGCTTCGGGGACCATGTGGGATGCTGGGAATCAAACCCGGGTCAGCCGTGTGCAAAGCAAACGCCCTACCCCGTCAATTTCTAGTTTTTGAGAGGAATGTCCATAGTATTTTCCAGAAGGCTGGATCCACGCTACCACTGGTTATTCTTTTTGATGTGTACCAATCTCTGGCGTGACAGCTCATCATTGTTTTGACTTGCATGTCCCTGATGATTAGTAATCACTGTCACTGTTCTCCCGTTGTTCATCGATTTTTCTTGAGTGGGCCCAGTAACATCTCCATCGTGAGACTTTGTTGTTACTGTGTTTGCCATATCGAATACATCTCAGGTAGCTTGCCAGGCTCTGCCGTGCGGGCGAGATACTCTTGGTAGCTTCCCGGGCTCTCCGAGAGGGGCGGAGGAATCGAACTCGGGTAGGCCATGTTGGCTGTGTGCAAGGCAAACGCCCTACCGCTGTGCTATCGCTCCAGCCCATGACTAGTAATGTGGAGCACTTTTCTATCTGTATTTTGGCCATTTGTTTTTCTTCTTTGAGGAAATATCTGTTCATCTCTTTTCCCCATTTTTTATGGTATTGTATATTCATTTTGGAAAATTCTGCTAGTGCCTTATGTATATGGAATATACATCCCTTATCAGATGAGTGTTGGGTAAATAATTTTTTCTATTCCGTGGCCAGTGTTTGTATCCTCGTCATCATTTCCTTTGAGGTTCAGAAACTTCTTAGTTTAGCATAGTCCCATTTGTTTTTGCTTGGTCAGTGGTGTTTCCTTGAAGATGCCTTTTTAGCTTCAGTGTCAAGGAGAGTTCTGCCTGTTTTCCTCTATGTACCTTACGGATTCAGTCTTATATCAAGGTCTTTAATCCATTTTGATTTGACTTTTATGCATGGCGTTAGGTCCAAGTTATTTTTTTGCATGTAACTAACCAGTTTTCCCAAACTAGTTAATTTTATTTGGGTCTCTTTTAGCTGGCATCCTTGGGCCTCCGGGATCTGGGTGCATGCACTCTCAGCTCTAGGAACTTCTCGGCAGTGCCTTTGACTGTTCTTCCTCATCAGGGTTGTCTTCTTGTTCTCTAGGATTGATGATTCTTACATTGTTCCTCTTGAATTCATCCCAAAGTTCTTTTGTCGTCTGTTGTTTTCTGGAGATTCTCTGCACCTCATGTTGGATTTCACTGCGTCTGCCCCCAGCTGCTGTCACTCTGCTACTGAGGCCTTCCAGGGAGTTTGTCATTTCACCTAACAAGTTTTTCAGATCTGTCATTTCTTTTGTAGTTTCCTCATTTCTCTCTCATACCCTCTTGTGTTTTATTGGTGATCTGTTCCATTGTTTCTTTGAGCTTCTCACACATCCTCAACAATTCCTTCTCCGAGGTTTTTTAGCTCTTTGTTCCCGGTTGAGTCTACCTGGCAAGCGTCTTCACTCTAAGCTGGGTGGGGTTTTTGCACTGCTTAGCCATTATGACTTTTGCAGAGTCTGCAGTTGTTTCTTGTATGTTTTTGTGTGGTAGTTTGGATGTTTCTGTAGTTCACGGTGAGTTACAAAGAGGTGAAGGAAAGAAGAGGAGAGGGAGAGGAGAAGCCATCCTACATTCCACTGCGTGGTCTTCTGGGGTGAGGGCAACCCTGACCTGTGGGGAGAAAGTGTTGATTCTGAGTTAAAAGTGGGGCCCGTATGTTGCTGTACCTCCTCTGGGACTGCTGTACTTAAATTTTGTTGGCTAAAATGAGGCTGTGGTCCTACCTCATGTTTTAGGACCTGGGTCGTAACATTGTCCCATACTTCCAAACACTCCAAAGGAAAGGGTGAACTGATGTCAGTGAGTATCAGTGGCCTCAGCACAGTCAGACATGGACAAAAATTCATTTAAATGATTAAATATAATAATCTGTGCCATATTCGGAATGATTTATCTTTGGAATTGGAGTCTTGACTTATTTAGCCAAAAGATCAATCAGGTATCTAATCTTGTGATTCAGAAATTACTCATATAGTATCAGTTATATCCTAACTAAATGTTCTCAGTGATGTTCAAGGCCATCATTCTTTGGTCGTGTATGTTTTCAGCATATTTGCAGAGAATTGTGTTACATTTTCAGTTGTCTCTGTAGCACTGAGTGTGACTGTATCCTGAGAGGGCATTATAGCTACATGAGTTATAAACATTATGCCAGGTGGAACATGCAGAAACTTGCATAGACATTTGCAAGAAACTACAAAGCAATGAAAATAAATACCTATTTGAAATTTGGTAATGGGGCTTGCAAAGCCAACTCAAGTGGATTGATTGATTTATTTAGGATTATTTTTCTAAAGATTATTAGTCTCTAGAAACTATGAATATGATGGGTTTTTGGCTTTCAATTCTAATAAAACTGACTTCATTCCTGACCTAAGGGAGCCCTACAGTAGCACTGAATTTTCATATTCAAGAGCAACTACAAGTAATGATGACAGCACTACTTTATCTAGGTCATCTGTTTAAATTATTTCAACAGTACTGAGTGAGGTAGGTATCTTGTTATTTTCATTTACAAATGAGGAAACCAGGGCTCGGGTGTTCTGTAACTTGTCTAAGATTACGTACCTACTGAGTAAAATAGAGAAAACGCAAATCATGGCAGTTTGATTTTAGACCACAGTGACCTTAAGGTAAAGGTAAAGGCCCTCCCGTTGATTGTCGATTTGCTCGAGCGGGCCCAGTAACGTCTCCATTGGAGACTTTGTTGTTACTGTGTTTGGCATATCGAATACTCTCCGTAGCTTGCCAGGCTCTCCGAGAGGGGCGAAGGAATCGAACTCGGGTCGGCCATGTTGGCTGCTTGTAAGGCGAACGCCCTACCCGCTGTGCTATCGCTCCAGCCCACAGTGACCTTAATCTCTGTATTTCTGTATTGCCTCTGTTCAGAGGCACTGAGATGGATTTATTGGTAGATGAGGTAGAAGAGATGACTGTACTTATATTTTAACGTTAGGTATATTTTTATGAACAAAATAATACTCTACAAACATAAATAATAAAAAAATGAGTATATTTCACTGGTATAGTTGTTAGTGTTTTTTTATGTAAGCGTGCCAGACCTTGATCTCAGAATATTATGTTTTTATATTGTTTAAATAGTTTAATGTTATAGAAATATTAGTAATTCTTTTTTCTTTCCATTCCCTAGAAGAGTTTAGAGTTGCTTTAGGAGCTAACTTACAAGCCACTCAAGAAAATAAGACCACTAAATTGGTCCTACCTCTTTTTAATTTTTTAAAAATATTTTATGTCTAACCTAATTTTTTAGTCTTGGCACCAGAGGTTTTTGGCTCTTTTTCCTTAGAGGACAAAGGTTACATGTATGTTTTTACTGCTGTTTACTTGATCTTCTAAATATGAAATGATTGAGAAATAAAAAATGTGTCCGATAGACTCTTTTTAGCAGAATGAAGTTTCCAGCAGAAGTGTAGGAATTTTTCACCACTTTGGTATTCTTTATTTAGAAAGAATCATCCATAATCTTTATTATAAATGAATGTTGGGAAAGCATATATTCATTCAAAAGTGTTTTTCAGCATTTTCAATCAAAGACTTTTTTTTCTCTTTTTGGTAGGATATTTAGATGTTAAAACATTTCTTTGTAACCAGAAGTGACATTTCTGGACTTCATTGAGTTTATTGCCCTCTTGTGGCTAAAAGAAACATAGCGAGATATATGATTATGTTTGATAGCACAGCGGGTAGGGCATTTGCCTTGCATGCGGCTGACCTGGGTTCGATTCCTCTCTCCCTCTCGGAGAGCCTGGCAAGCTCCCCGTGGCGTATTCGATATGCCAGAA